GTGTCATGTAAGTTTGTTGGTCCTTGAGCACTGACACGGGGTGGAACAAATTGAAATAAGTAGCCATGTGTAGGCACACATGCTGTCCTTTCTGCAGTGGATTGATGTGCAATCCTTAAATCATTTGGCTAGTCTGCAAAACATGGAAGGACATAAGAAGACAGAATTAAATGAGTTGAAATATTTTTTTCCTGCCGTATTTGAGATGTTGCAGCGTACAGGGTATTTATTGATCCGCTCAGTATAAGTGTCCCAGGTAAGTACATTCACTCACTTAACAATGCTGTCAGTTTGCCAAGGTGATTCCAGAGAACCAGTATACCCTCTTTACAGATTTGATTCTCTCTGCTGCCCTTTCAGTAGTTTGGACAAGTCATTCTGTGAAAATCTGTAATAGCTCTGAAACATCCCTTAGCAACCATCCAAGGGCATTCTTCTCCAGATACCAGCTCTGTGAAAGTACTTTGCTGTCAGAAGTCAGTATACAGAAATTCCAATAACAGAAAGGCATTCTTTGAAATAACAAATCAAGAGTAAACTTCTTTTTGTATTTACCCAGCAATTAATTCCTAAAACACAGTAAAAGGCTAACCCCTGATGCAAATGAAAAAGACTACAAGGTCTGTTAAAAATTATTAGTATTGAGTAATTTCTGTACATGGAACTGTATAAATACTGAGCATCAGGGAAATGCACTCTGAAAATGAAGAGAAATCTGGTTAATGACTGTTCACTAATACAGACTGGTAAGTTAAAACAGTATTTCAGATATTCATGTGCTGTATGCTCAGAGGGAGAAAGTCCTAAACTAAAATTAGGAAGAGTGAAGTCTGCTGTGACCAGTGGAAGGAAATATATATACGTGATGTGACATTGCAGACAACCTTGTAATCTTGATTAATGGGAGTACCTACAGAAAAAGGTGTTTGGCAAAACATTGTCAAAATCAATACCACTTTGAAATGATTGTGTGTCTTGCTACACTGCCTTGCTAGTTAAAGAGAAATGAATACATGGACATATACAAGTGTTTAGATCAGGAACTTGATGTAATGCAATCAGATCTAGTAAAGGATCAATATATAACTTCTTTTCACTCACAAGACTAAGTGACAGTATATTATATCAAATTGACATGGCAATCGATTCTCCTTTCCCAATCCCCCTTCAGCTCTTGTCAAACAAAAATATGGCTTAAATAAGTCCTTGTTTGTGAGTCAGGATGTCTAAAATCAGGGTAAAATATTTAATATATGTTAGTTATTTGTTACTCAACAAAAATACTAACTGGTTTGCTAGGAGATTCAGCACCCACTTTGGACATAGTAATTAAAATGATGGTTGAGACATTCCCCTAAATACTGCATCTCATCTGGAGTTCAGAGACTCACCAATGCCACTTGGTAATAGTCTCTGCTGTCCCCTGTGCTGTCAGACCTATGGAGCAGAATTTCCCAGTGCTGGACTCTTTCTGTCAGTGTGGCTTGGCTCTGTGGGCACCAGCTGAGCCACAAGACATTCTTCCACGTGGGTTTAAGTTCTGTGTTGCTGAAATAATTGTGCCTTCAGTTCAAAAAGTTAATTTTCCCTGGTGGATTGAAGTCCTTGTGATAGCCCCATGTGCTGTAAAGGTAGGGATATGTTGCAACATTGGAAGATGTCTCCAGGTAAAATTTTATTTTTACTAAAATACTTGTTACAGCACAAAGTAATAAAACTTGTTGATAAATTTTGTACTTATCATAATAACTCTGTAGAAAAAGTAACATGGAAAGGGTTTTTCTAGCTGCTGGAGTATATTCTCAGAAAAAAATGTGAACACTCCCAGCTGAAACTCTCTTTAAGAATTTGGAAGCTCCAGAGAGCTGAGATGATGAAACAGTTGTTCATCATTCCAAAACCCTGCACCCTTGCTTAATTCTAATAATAGTTTTATATAAGCTGCTCTGTGCTTGTGCTTTTTAATTCATTATGAGTGTTTAAGAACTTCTGAATTTGAAGAATTTTAAAGCAAAATGTTTCTGTAAACGAAATAACCCATTGATAGTGTCACAGGTTTTAGAAATTATTTCCAAAAATATACTTTATCTTTCTTTGATAATTAGGAAGGGTCATTATCTACCCTTCAGGAATTGAAAAAAAAAAAAAAGAAAAATAAGAAGTTAGTTGAAGTCATTCATGCATGAATATGGTAATCAGTGAAGATCAAAGAAGTAATCTGTTCAGGTCATTGGACGTCCATCATCAATGTGTGTGTAACTGCACAAGGTCCATTCCATCACTGTCAACTGCTGAACAGAGCAATACTTTTTCCATTGTGCTGATGGATGTGGATGCAGGTTCTCAGCTCTGACCTCAAATTGCAGCAACAACACTGCAACAGACTTCTGACATATTTTTCCCAAACAGGGCATTATACTTGACTGAGCATCTTACCTTGAAACATGTCTTAATATGTAATAAAATTTCCTTGACAATAATGTGTCTCCCTTCAAAACTAATACCTTGGAAAATGAAGTGGAATAATGATGTAGTAAATTAGGAAAATGGCCAGTTGGAGGCTGCACAGCAGTGACTCAAGATGATTATTAACCTGTACTGGTTTTATCTATCTTTTCCAATTGCAGGCTCTGATAGTTCCCCATTGTCTCTGTCTCTTGCTGTTACAATTAGCAGTGAAATATTCTATTGTAATTAATTTATAAAAGGTAAATTATGGGGAAAACGGGCTGAAGGACTAAGACCTTTGTAATGGGTATATGGCAACTTTCTCCTGTCAGCAAAGATTATGTGTGGCAGTGGTGTGAGACTTATAACCTGCTTCAGAGGCACAATAAATACTGGGGTTTGATATAAGGAACTGCAGGTAGATATGACCATGGTGTGGTGGACATAGATTGAGATGAGGATCTTATAAAAATTTTACAAGTCTAAAGAACACAGTGTTATTATCAATCTGCTTTCTGTGTTAAGTAGCTGGTACTAATTAAAAAGGTCAAGCATTTCCTGTAAAACCAAGCCTCTGATTCAGATTTCTGGCAGAGGGATAACGGGTCAAAGTGTATTATTGTAGATCTTCCTCCCTTTTTTAATGTAACAATGAAGAGTACTTTACTCTTTCCCTTTTAAAAGAAAAATGTCACTTGTAACAGCATTTGAACTTCTTTTTTTTTTTTTTTTAAATCCAATAGATCTGAAATTTGAGGGTTTTTTCTCTTTTTTCTCTTACCTATGTCTGAGGTCTCAGCTGAAGTGCCATCAGAGCCTGGCTGATATCTTTTGTTTAGTGCTGGGCATCCCTGCAAATGAGTTCAGAGACTAATCCAAGCTGCTGGGGGTATTTGTTGCTTGGCCAGTGGGTTGTGTTGCCATTCAGCTTGAAATTGAGGAGTTCTCTGCTTTCCTCTTATTTTTTTTTTTAATTTAAATATTATTATAAATGTACATGAAATGAAAATATTTTGGTGTGAGCATTGTGATTTCATAAATACTCACTGATTCTTCATAGCTGTTAGTATTAGGAGAGAAGGGAACAGACTGAGCATCCTTCAATGGGTAATAGTATCTCTGGCCATTTTGACATGGGCTGGGAAGGAAACATGCTAAATGGGTCAAGTGAAATGCTGGGTTTTTTTTCTTTTTTTCTTTTTCAAACACCCACAACAATCCATAAGACTGCAGACAGTTGTGATAAGAGATGCTGCTTTAGTCCTTTTTCCATTAGAGGAGTGGCAAGAATTAAATTCCAGTGTGACTGTTTCTCAAGGACATAAGGGATTAATATGTCTTAAAATAGACATCATTAACTTAGAAATGTATTTTCCACATTTGAACTTGATGAATTTTGCAGTGAAAAGATAGGAGGGGAAATGGTATTTTCTTTGTTCTTTCAGCCTGTTTGTGAATTTTGAGAGAACCTGTTTACAAGAGAGTTAAATTCTGGAGAGTCTCAAGAATTGTTGTGGTTTTATGTGCTTAAGTAGGCATGCATGCTTCCATTTTGCAGGGTTATTTTAGATTCTGGTGATTGCATGGCACCACAAACTCTGTTTTTGCCAGTAGGACCATGAGACAACCTGGAGGTGGGCAGTGTGACTGGGGGGTGCCCACGCTGCCTTCAGGAGGGGTCATGGTGCAAGTGGGGCCATCTCCTGTTTCAGCAATTGCTCCAGGGAATGGGGATCTTTGTAATTTGTCCCCTTCTTTTTCTGATCTCCAGCAGCAAGATTTTTATTCTTTTACTTCAGCGGGTCATGTCTTGCCAGCTTGGTTAATAACTCAAACATTTGCTGCTGGGGGTCCAGAACAACCGTAGCCAGAAGGACTGACATTGCCAGCTCCGGACGTGTAACGGGACAGTTGAGCATATGCAGCTCCCTCCCACTGCTGGGTGACGCCAGCACTGCCAGAGGAATGAGTGTGGCATATTGTTTCTCCTGTATGCCCGAATATTTATTTATGCATTCCGATCCATAATAGCATAATAACAGACTTGGAACAATAAGATAATTATTTTGCTTCTTGGGTGGTTAAAATTAACTGTGCTTGTTGCATATTTATTCGGTAAAAAAAGCACAAGATGTTTAGTAATTGCTCAGAAATTCATTATCTGCATAATGTTCTGTTTCTAAATGTGTATTGCATGACCATTAATCTGTGCCAACAGCAAACATGCAGCAATATCTGATGTAATTAGTTTCCCCCTTACATGCCAAGGAGAACATCTGGGCTAATTGCATGTTGTTGACAAAAGTTGCCATTCTAATGGGGGTCTCTGTTTGTGCACACACACACACTCATTATATGTACAAACATGCCGAGATTTCAGTTTATCCTCAAGCAAACTGATAGCTCTTACTGATGAGATACTCTTGGTGATTTGTTGCTGGGATCATAAAATGTCTGGAGGCAACATGAGTAAATGTTAGCAGGAATAAGATGCTCTTAAGCAGAAAATAAACAAACCTGTAATGCTGCTTCTTCTGTTTTGTTTTTCCAGCCGCCACTGGTCCAGGCGATTTTCAGTGGTGATCCAGAAGAGATCCGGATGTTGATCTACAAAACTGAGGATGTCAACGCCTTGGTATGTGACTGGGCATGTTATGTGCCTGTGGTACATGAGGGCTGTGCTTATGGGCTCTTACAATGAAAAATGTCCTTCGTAATTAACACAGAATGAAAATGATTTGGAAGTAAGAAATTTGGGACTTCAGTGGAATCCTAATCAGTAGTCTGAAATATAATTGTCTCCAACAGTTGACTTTAAATTTTCTTACTGTATGGTAATTATTCCAAATGTGCAGGTCAGTCAGGGACACTTTTTTTCTCTGACTGAGAAAATGAATGAAAACAGCTGAAAACTGCATATTTTTACTCTCTGTAGAGTTTCCTTTTGTGAAGAGCCTTTGCAGATCAGGAACTGTTATTCAGCATTTGACTGTGCTTAAAATAAAGCTTCACATAGGTCTCAGCAGTGAGAGCAAGGAAGCAGAATCTTGGCCATAATTTGACCACAGAGGAATTACTGTTCTGGAGATTGGCTTACTCTAACCAGAATGGTAAGCAGCTGTAAAGTAGTAGTATTTAAGTAGTTTGGTATTGGAGGAAAATATCTCCATTTGAACTTGATCTTTTTGCAGAAGTTTGGATATTTTTTTCCCCCTTTTCAATTTTAACTTAAATCCATACTCTAAGAGTCCTGTCAGTCCTGACTACAATCTGCAGCCTCTGAAAGTGGTGAGAATATAAAGCAGAAGCAGAATGATGATTTCCAGGTGTTTCCTGGACTTTTGAATCAACCCTCCTTTCCTTCATGTCTTTCTCTGACATAAAGTCTTCAGTTTATTTATAGCTAACACCAGCACTTGGTTTGGTTTAGTCTTGGCACTGAAACTTTTGCAGGTAGTGGGTCTAACCTGTTGGTTCGGAGCTGCTGAAAGGAACTGGAGAAATGATCCTACAGATCTGGTTGACTGGGGCTCCACTCCATTTGCTTCAAGAGCAGAAAGACTTGCTTCTGCTTTAAATTGGGAATCTGATCCAGGACCTTGACATTAGGCTTTCCCTGTGATTATCAGTACCTGGTTGTTTTGTTAAAAGTTCCTAAAAGTGCTTTGTTAAAGAATCATTTCTCTTGAGTTTCTTCTTTATTTGTTTTTGCTGTTGGTCTAAAAAAAACAAACAAAAAGCCCCAAACTAACTAAACAAAAACCCCACAACAAGCTAGGTGAATGTCATAGTTCCTCTGCATTTCATGTTGTTTTTTAAAATAGCATTTCCTGCACAAGATTATTGCCTGCTTCTCAAATGTTTTTCTATCCTTTGGCTGCAAGTGTGTAGTGATGGTTGCCAGGGAGATGCTCTCAGCTGTCAGGTGTGATATAGATGAGGAATACATATTTTGCAGATGAATACCATGGTACTTAATAAAAAAAGTCATTGAACTTGAATGGTCTGCCCAGAACACTATTTACAATACTCAAAATCCATCCAAGAATGCTTTGCCTGAACAGCTATTTTGTCAGGAGCAAAACACAAACCTTTTCTTTTGAGCAATTAGAAAAATACTGGTCAACGTGAAACTTGAAGATTGTGCTCTGAATAGTGACTGCAGACAAGGGTTAATTGCTTAAAATATCACTAAAGAAAGACCAAAAGATTTCCCTCCCTTGTGCTGTGAGCTGGCAATTTGCATTGCGTGCTTATGTTTCTATTTTAAGGGTGTTTTTAATTACTTCCATGTTAGTGTTTGGTTGCTCACGTGAGAGGAAACTCTGACACTTTGGCAGCGATTTGTCCTTTGTTGATCATTTTGGTTGGCTCTATTAACACTGGAATAGTTTAAATATAGGTAGGACAAGGATACAAAATAAAAGGCTGGTTTGTAGCAAGCTCTGGGAATTTCTGGAGTTTTAAACATTGTTTTTTTGGAATCTGCAGCAAGAGAAGTATTTGGAAGATAGAACAAAAAGCGCATAGAGAAACTCCACAAAATTAGGAATGTATGTGCATACTTCCTAAGAGAAAATTAATCTCAGGAAAGAATTTGGAGGAAATCTTGGAGGAAATCAGAAGTTTAGCATGTTACTTTTTTTTTTTTTTTTTTTTTTGGTCTGGTAAAATAATTATTATCTTTCCAAGCTGGGAAGTGTATGTTGATAGAAATGGCTACATTCTGGATGCTGCTATAATTGTGAATTCCACGTTGCAACACAGTGAAAGCTGTGACTGTTTGGCTTACAAGTGTGGGTTTAGTTCATTCTGCCACCATAATTGTCACTGTGACCTCTCCAGTCCCCAGCTGTGCTTTGGGGGGAGCACGTGCACCCTGAGGCCATGGACACTGTTATCCTTAGCTGTTATACTGGGTAAGCAATTCCCTACCATGGGGTACCAAATGTGCACTGTTTCCTTGGGAAATGTGGTCTGCCTGTGGGCAGTGTTCAGCAGCCTGTTTTCCCAGGACATTTGCAATATTGGTTGCACTATCTAGACTGCCAGACTAGTTTCAGGTAGGCATTGTCTACATTTGCTGTTTGGTACATTTAGAAATAGTAGGGTGATCATGCTCTGTGTGTATAGGTGGGGATATTTTAGGGTGCTATTTTTACTTTGGGAAGAGTGGGAGAGAATGACTCCTAGAATCCAGGGACTACTCTGGATCCAGTTGTAACCCCTTGTTATCTGGGATTTGTAATACATACAGCTGTGCAGCACCCTACATCTGCAAAGTCTAGTTCTTATGTGTGATGTTATAAACTGAAATCTTCCTGTGAAATTTCCATTTTCATCTTAGTCTTCCAGTTTCCCCTCAAAATATCTAAAGCCAAACAAAAAAAGCCAAAACCCCTTCCAGTATTCTTCCCTATAACTAATGTGATGTTTGCAAGCCAAACCAGACATTTAATTCCCTCTGTTTTTATTTTTTTATCCCCTAATCCTGCGTTTTCTCTTGGTTAGAACCCTAAAAACCCAAAATATATTTAAAATTTCGATGTCTCCAGAATATCTTCTGGATATTCTGGATTTTTATTTTTGGGAAAGTAACTGGTGTGCTACCTCACTCCACCAGTGAGACTGTTGAAGGCAACATTTGCTTTCCCACAACATAGGTGCTTCTGTTTCTGCTGCTGGGGCACAGTTGCTGGTATGGCCTTTTGGGCTTGATCCTTGCAGCCTCTTTGCTCAATGCTCTGCCAGCTGGAGAAGCTGCAGATGCTTCTTGCTGCTCATCAGCATCAAGAGATAATTGTGTGAATGTTTATTATGGGTGAGGAGGGCAAGAAAGATCTCACTATGGAGAGACATGTATGTATGTATGCTGTTTATTACTTCTTTTACACATTTTTCTGCTTGGTAAGGCATAGATTTGCAGGACTGCTTTTGTCAGGAGGATTCAGGCTTCATCCAGGTCTTCACACACACAAAAAATTTATATATATATATTTCTGTAATATTGCTAAGCATATTTTTGGAGGTGGTATAAGTGCTTGAGGGTACAAGTGCACACATGGTTGGGATTGTGAGTCTGAAAGGCTTTGCATGCTTGGGATAGCTGAAGTGAAGACCAGCTTGTCATTTAGAGTGACACATTTGACTTGGGACTTAAGAGAGACTGTAATGTGGTATTTCAGTTACCTTGGGATACCAGACCCTCATCTCTGCTCTCATCCAAGGAATCATGATTTTCCTTTTGGCGCCGTGGAGCCTTGCAGGAGAATAAAGCTATGCTGGAATTAAATGCTCCTCTTTAAGATGTAGTTATGCTGTGCTGGAAAGTCTTCTGGAGGATTTAGTCAAGAAGTTGGAAAGGCTTCTGCTTTGACACAGTATGACAGTTTGGTGTTTGGTAATAGCTGTGTTTCCAGTGGTATTTAGCCTCTAGTAGTGCTGTTTGATACGCTGTTTCTTTAAGTGGGAAGTGATAGGAACAATTTTTTTCTACAGATATTATGAACAGTTCTCAATTAAGGAAATTGAATATGAAATTACATTGATGCTTGCAATGCAAGGTAACTAGCATGACTTAATTTTTTTTTGTTTTAGAATTTTTTTCTTTATGTTTTGTACAGAAAATTTTTGAACTGTGAAAAAGATTCTGCTGGAGAGACTGAGAGTCTGAAATCTGGGTTGCTTTGCAACAGCATGTTAGTATACTAGTGGTTACTACGTTATATATATCTGTGCTGGTGACTCATGTTATCAGTGTCCCCAGAATGTTAGAGACCGCTAAGGATGTATAGGCCATCAAAGCCTCATGGCAGGGTTTGGCTGTAGCTGCATTATTTTCTTGCAAGGCAGCAATATCAGCCTGAAATACTTGAATTTTCTAAATCTTTTCCCATCCATTTACGTGTGATGTACGTTCCCATGCCTTCAGCCTTTCCCCCCAGGTCCCCCAAAAGTTAATATTGTGTTTGTAAAAATAGAGGAGTTATTTAAGTCTATCTTTTGAGTCTTACATTGAATATTCATAAACATTAGAATATTTCCATTCATTAGGATAACAGTTCCTACAGTCTCAATATAGAATTAGTAATTAGTTGTTAAAATTATCTTTTTCTCGCATGAAAGCTGCCGTCAGCCTTACAGAAGGCAAGTGTTAAATGTGGGGAAAAAGAGCAGATAATTTTTCTGGTCTCTAGGAGATCAAAGTATTTACCTTTTCTACCTCATGGGCAACTAAAGACTCAGTCCAGAAAAATATTTGTTTCTGAGGCCAAACTGAAGACTGTGAGGATAAGAGGTGATGGAACCAGGATCTGCATTTTCAGATAGGAATTCCTTAACTCGATTATTACCAAGCAGAAGAAAGAGTGCGAGACATAAGTTACACAGCTTGACTTTCCCCTTCAGCTGGTGCTCACAGTTAAACACTTCCATTTGCTCTGTGAATTACAGCCTTTAATAAAAGAATGTATGAGTAGAAAAAAATCCTTGAAGCAGCAGATATTTTCTTGGTACACCATCAGCTTTTGGCTTGGAATGGTTGTAAATAGCTCACAAAGTAGGTGCTCATATGCTTTTAGCCTCTTCAGTAGTTCCTAACAGTTGCCAATATTGAATATTCCTGAAGTCAAGTTGTATCTAAATGTTTGGGTTTATAATGGTTGTGCTGTTTAAATTTAGGTGTATTCAGATGTAACAACTGTAAATGGAGGGAATGAGGAGGAAGTTTGTTTTCTGTTATTATTCTGGTTAGACTTTATCAGTGGAAGTTGTAGCCATTCACATGCCTTACTCTGCCACCCAGGCACATCTCTGGCAGAAGGTGGTGGGAATCCAAAGACTTCATTAACTTGGTTTCTGGGGTGCATTAAAGTCCTTCTGTAAATTCCAGCTATTCCTGTTAGCTGCCCAGTCAGTTTGGTTACAAAGGAAGGATACATACATTTGTTTTCTGCAGCAGTTGCACTTATATGTTAATAGTAAGGAACTCTGTCTTAAGCATCACCTGATCTGAGCAGCTGCAGTTGATCTCAAAATTCAAATCCATTATCTCCCTTGAGATGTAGGCTGTGTTGAGGAGGAAATGTAGGCCCTTTTCTTAATGTGCCTGCATATGTTACATGTGCTGATATGATTCATTCAGTTCACTGTTCTAATCTTCATGTACCTCAAGGCTCTGATCCAATAAAGCACTTAAGGACTAGTCTAACTTTAAGCCTGTGAAGGGTCTTATCAGTGTCACTGTGATCACTTGAACAGTTTAAGTATGTGTTGAGTGTTTTTCATGCTGAGGCCTTCTGTCACCGATTTCCTGTTTGTTAGAGTCTTAATTTCTTTTCTTTGTACTTAAAACAAACAAAAGCATACAGATAATGTTAGTATGCAGCATCATCTTTTCTGTGAACTAAGATAGGTTACTAAAACAGTTTTCATAGAATCATAGGATGGTTTGGGTGGGAAGTGATCTTAAAGATCATCTAGTTCCAACCCCCTGCCATGGGCAGTGACACCTGCTGAGAGCTTCATCCAACCTGGCCTTGAATACTTCCAGGGATTGGGGCATCCACATTTTCTCTGGGCAGCCTGTTCCAATACCTCACCACCCTCACAGTCAAGAATTTAGCCTCAGTATCTAATCTAAACCTGCCCTCTTTCCTTTTGAAGCTATTCCCCCTTGTCCTATCACCACACTCCCTCGTAAAAAGTCCCTCTCAAGCTCTCTTGTAGGCCTCCTTTAGGTACTGAAAAGAGTGTTTATCTCATCTCAGCATGATTTTCTAACCATTGTTTACAGTTTATCTACTGTCTCTTACTGACCTTTTGTTCCTCAGAGAACTGTACTTGAAGCAGGTCTGATTATTCATCTTAATGCTATTTGTAACCGTGTTATCATCTCTCCCCCTTCCACTTACTTTCCTTGCCTTGATAACGTATGTTGAGGTTTGAGGTTCTGCCAAGCCTTTTCCTGAAAGGACAGATTTTAGTCCTCTCCCTCTGTTTGTAGCCTTCAGTCTTTAAATCATTACTGATTTACTTTTGTGCTCCTGTTCCCACCATCATGTGACAAATATGTCTGTAGCTGAAAAGATGTCAGGGCATGGGCCAGATGGAAAGGCAGTGGGTGATGTGATTCTGGCTGCAGTGGTACACAGCTTTGAGGAGGATGCAGTGAGTGTGGTTGGACAGTTGGGGAGATGCCTCAGTTTCTCTGTTTCTGCATCAGTCCTGTGCAGAGTCTAAACAGGAACTTGAGGATGTTCCTCAATTGAATTTCTCATCTGCATGCTTGTCTGTGGGTGTAGTGTGTGGACTTCTCCCTGCCAAACTCCAGAAAATGTTTCCTGTAGGACTCTCTGTGAAAGTGAACTCTGATTTGTGCCTGGTTGTGAGAAACGGAGAAGTTTTAGGGTTTTTTTCCTCTTGGAGAAATGAAGCTTAAATTCAGTTTCATGACTAAACCCAACTTTCCCTGGAAACTTGATTCTTGCTTAATATGATAGGACTTTGCATTGATTTTAAAAAGTGAAAGCTGAGAAAGCTTACAGAGAGTTATTCCTGTTACAGGAAGGATAAAAATTTTAGTTTTCTATTTAATGTCCTTTCATCTCTGTTATCAAATTCTCATCAGATTTACAGTTTACTACATAATATCTTTATAATCAATAAAGCACTGGGTAACCTTGGTTCCTTGATGCAGAAAATTGCTTGGTCTTGTATCATTAGCATTTGACTGTTGCCAAAGTTGGCTGTGTTGCAAAAAGCTGTCACAGAATTTGTCACTGACAGGTACGATGGCTGCTACAAATGCTGCATTGTATAAAGAGAGCTCTGTGCATTGAAATGAGCAAACTAAAAACCCAAATAAAACTGATTCTGGTTTGATCAGTCTTAGCATATTTTTTGCCATAGGACAGAATATTTGTGGAAAGTCTTATATGCACTTGTACCTGTGAGAGCTGTTTCGTGGTGGATTAGGGGTTAGGAACTGAGCATGTGAGAGAATCCAGCTTGTTATTTTGGTTCCTGCGAGGACTCTGCTGGATGGACACTGCTTAACGTTCTTTTAATTTACCTATCATGTGAGGAGGTGAAGTTCTGCAAGATACCTTCCTCTCTGACCTGTGACAGCCTGGGTTTTATGTAATCTGTCTTCTGAGTGTTTTATGTGCATGCCCAATATGAAAGATCAAAATGCAATGGAGCAGACTTTGCAGACTATATGCATTATATATACTTAAAAAACCATAACAATTAAATTATTCTGGTTGATCAGTGGCTCTGTGCCTTTCAGTGTTGGAAAATTATTTTCAACATTCAAATGACAAATGCTTCTGCTGCACTGATTTGTCCACGTTTTTAGCATACTTCAAAGGTATTACAAAATAGCTTATGGTGGTTGACTTCTTGGTCATGGTAAAAGTGATATTTTATATGACAGGCTCAGAGATCTGCTTCAGGGACACTGGTAGGGTTTCTCTGTTGGTATTGTTTGCAGGAAGTGTTGAATTTGTTACCAGCTTACAATATTTAATGCTAATAAGTTGCAATAAGTTTCACTGATAAGGTCTCTTAGAACTTATTTTTGTGGTTAAGAAACCAAAATGAAATTCATTTAGGACTGAAAACAGGGATGAAATAGCACAATGAGCAGTATTAGCAGTTCTTGTGATTGTTGTTGCCCATATTATAATGTTTTAGCAGTTTCTTTTGAAGACCTATGTTCTGCAATCATCTGAGCAAAGCAATAAAAGAAAGGGTTTTTTTTAAACACTGTGTTTATACCCCTTGAAGTTAGAAAAGAAAATCTTGAAAATGGACTCCTTAATGTGCAAAATTACAGAAATCAAATAAAAGTAGAGGTATTTCAGAAGTTATATATATGATAATTAGCAGTTCTTCTAGGTTTAAAGATACAGATTTGACTAGTAGTATTTTCTTCTTTTATATTTAAAGGATCAAAGTGCACGTGCCCATTTGGGGCTGCTGTGTAGATAACCAGGCTAAATGGTATACAAAGACCTTTATAGACTAAGAGGATTACATCCTGACCTTGGGTGTGGTTCCAAACCATTCTCCCAAGTTATCCTTCTGAAGACTCTGTGTGTCTTGTTGTATTGTTGGTGCAAACTGCATTACAAAGTCTGATATCCAGAGACATCTCAGTTGTGTTGCTGTGATACTTAAGAGTGGGAAAGAGACACAGGGATGATGCCTTTTCCTCATTTTAGATTTGATTTGATCTACCTGTAAACAGGCTATCAGAGTAAAGACAGTGTCTCTGCAAGGTGTGATGGAAACAAGTGATAAAAAAAAGCTGAGGATTATTGGGAGGAAATGTGTTGTTGAGATCTTGAATTTTGTTCTTTCAGTGAGATTGCATTTCTAATTGTAAACAGAAACGCACACAGCAAATAAATATGTACAAATGCATTGCTCTTTAACATGAATGTTTGCACTTATTTGTGGTTTTGTAGGATGCCGAGAAGCGAACTCCTCTTCATGTGGCATCATTCCTGGGGGATGCAGACATCATTGAGCTTCTCATTTTGTCAGGTAAGGTGGTGACCCTCACTGTTATTAACTGGTAAAATAGCTAATTTTAAAGCTACAAGGAATACCCAGCAGAGCATATGAAAGTGAATTTTGGGCAGTGCCTATATATTCTGAGTTTCATGGAGTTGGTTGCATATGTTTCAAGCTTAGAAAATATATTTCAATTTAGTGATACAATTATAAAATATGCACAGTGACTGAGCACAATTAATAAACAAAGTAACTAGTTTTTAACAACTTTTAAAGCATTCAAACTGACAGTATTTTTGCTTCAGAAACTTGCTGAAGTATGTATTTGAAACGTGGATTCACATCCTGGAGTACAAGCCAAGAATTCCTGTTAAGCAAAAATTATTATGGAATAATAGAAAAAAGTTATAAATTAGTTTAAATGAATTTTAAGTGGTATTTACATTAGAAATATGATTCTAAGAGTCAGGAAGTTTATTTGGATGTTAGAAACTGTGCAGTAGGATGTATCTGAACAACAACAACAAATCAAAACACGTTTTCCAACTGTTATAGTGGCAAAAAAACATGATCAAAATATGTCAGAACAAAGCATAAAGCAGACATCTCTCAAGAAGTGCACATAATTCATGGCAAACTCCTGGATGTGCTTGCAAATTTCAAAGGCAGTGTTTTTCTAAACTGGAGAACTGTAAGAATAAAGCTTATGTGGTTTAAGAATTTGGGATTGAAAGGAACCTTATGGTACAAATGTCTAACCCCTTGCAGGCAACCCTGCTATATAATTGGTTTCACAAATTATTGGTCTGCCTCTTCAAATTAGTTATGTATTTTTTTTAAAGTTATTTCAGAATTATCAGTCCTGTGACTGCAAGGCACCTTCTAATTTCCAACCTTGAATCCTAGAATAATTCAGGCTGGACAGGATTTCTAGAGATGACCTGATCCAGCCCCCTGCTCAGAGCACCAGCCAATTTCAAAGTTAAATCAGGCTGTTGATGGGTGCACCCACACCACACAAACATGTATCTTTGGTTTACCAGTCTAACCACACCTGGAGAAGGCAGAAAATGAGAATTCAGTTTGCTGTAGCTATGTGTTTCCTCTGTTCATTGTGGGGGAATTTTTGGTTTGCCTAATTGCTTAATGGAGGTAACTGGTTGGACATGCATCATCCATCAGACTTTTCTGCTATAACCCTGATTGCCAGCAAAATAGTTGGAAAGAACATTGCTCCACTGACAGGTTATGCTTGGGTGGGTTTTCAATGTGCTAAGTGCAAACATGATTTTCTACATTGGGAGGTAAGAGTTAATAAGCTTCATCTGTACATGTGTTCTTGCAGTGTGTGTTGTTTGTCTCATACTCCCATTCCACTGTGGTGTGAGAAGATTGAACAAGTAATGTCTTTTTGAAAAAAAAAAAAAAAGAAAAAGTTTTGCAAGTAGCAGCACAGGCAACATCCTCATAAAGATATAGGGGAAGCTGTTTTGCCCATTTGTCCCTTGATTCCAAATAGCATCCAGAAATGTCCAGGTGAACATTGTTGGTTTGGATCACATTCCTAAGAAGGGAAGGAGGCTTTCTAGTGTTCCTCTGGGACACTTAGTTCCAGCACCTGACAGCCAAAATGTCATCCCAGGGCTGTAGGGTTTGTCTGGTCAACAGCATAAAATGTAGGTGATATATCTTGGGGTTCTTTGATATATCAGAGTGTGAAAAACTTGTAATGTGGGCTTTTAAAAACTGAACTTTGTGTCAGTGGGACTGTGCTGGTGTTCAGTCTGCAGGAACTATGTGGATCTTTCCCAATTAGCTCAGCATGAATCAAAATTAATTTTGTGTTGCATATTCTACCTGTTCATTGCTCTTTAATATCTGATGTTCCATTATTTGACGATCATGAGTACTTGTATCCAAGAGCAAGTTTGGAGGTTTCTGAGGTTTGGATGAACAGGTTGAATTGTTATAAACACCTCTTTGTGACTGTGATCTCTTCATGAACTAGACTACAAAGACAACTGCAGCATCTTCCTTTGCTTCACCTCTTCATTCAGTAAACTGTATTAGTAAAAACATATTATAAAAGATTAATCTGAACATCAAATTTAGTTACATAAGCAGAAAAACTTTCTTGTCTGACTTAAAATGAGATGGTGTTTTCAGAGAGGGAAAGTGCAAAAATGCTTGCTGTTGTCAAGCAATAGTCTCAGTATGAGCAGAAACTAGGAGGAGTATCAATGTATTGCATTTTGCACAGGGCTCGGGAGAGAAATGAAATGAAATATGCACGTTCTGATATTTGTAGCCCACGAACTGGTGGCAGCACAAATACATGTGGTGTCTAATGAATAAAATTTCTGCTCAGGTTGTTGGAGACAGACCAGAAATGGATTTCTAGGTAGCCACTGAAATGGAATCTGTTTGGAACTGATACAGCAGATAGAGTGGCAGATCCCTCAACTGGTATGAATCACCCCAGCCCATTAAATGTCAGAGGCAGATAGATTTACAGCAGCCCAAAGGTCTGATCCATAATCATATGGTTCAAACTTGGGAAATGTGCTGTCATTTTGTTTTTCCAGGCTACATGAAAGCAGGGAGCTTTGAGCACTTTTTCACCTCCTTTCTGTCAAAAAGGAGAAGGACCAGGGTAATCACCTCACATAAATGAAGCTCTGTTTGATGACACAGTCATGGATGTGCAAGAACAACTGTCTGGGCAAACCCAAGCTCCATTCTCATCTATGCTGGGGCCTCCCCTCATCCTGGGCTTTGAGCTGGTACCTGGGGAACTAATGGTTGAGCTCAGTCCCTCACCCCTTGTTACCTACCAAGGCACTTGCCATCTTGGAAATATTACCATGCCTTACTAATCCTGAAAACTCTGAGCTTCTTGGCAAGAAGTTATGGCAGATATCCTTACATTTGTGAGGGCCTATTGCTGTGTCTCATAGCAGGAGTTGGAAAGGTGCATGTAAATGATGACATTAATAGGTTAAAGAGTAGAGTTTTCTTCCTTCATTGACCATCCCTAATTTTGGAGATTTAGACTGTGGAATCTAGGTTTATTAGAGACATGTGGATTTGGCAGATGTGCTGCATGGAAAATTGTACTTTGGTTATGGTAAAGAGATGTTAAAATAATTTGATGCTGTCCTGAAAGCCAGCATCAAATTATTTCAGATCTCATAAGAATCAGAAGGCAATTTCAGATTTATTTTCTCTTTTGGCAGAAAAATTTGAGAGTGAAAGATAGCAAAGATTACAAACCAGACCTATTAAAGAAAAGTGGAACACAGAAAGTTTCCTCTCTTTTGATTTTATTGGTAACATTATATGTTATGCTGTCTACTTCAGCCTCCCAGGGCAAATCCCTACAGCTAAGCCTTTCCTTCAGGCTCAGGGGTACGAGCCCTCCCAACAGCAAAGTGCAGAAGATGGGGCTGAGAAAAGGGTTTTCTCTGAAGAGTTTTTGTAAAGTGGACATTTTATGGGTGGATGGGTGCTGTGGCTACCTGAAAGGATTTTAAGTGAAATCTTTAAAGCAACTTATATTTTCAAGGAAGATTGTACTATGAAGGACACAATATACACCAAGTGTGTATCAGTCCTCTTTGTGCTTATAAACACACAGATTAATTCACAAAGTACTGTAGGAAGTGCATTGAAATATTGTTAAGGTACTTGGTCCAGAGTAGAGAGAGGGACACTCAATCTCTGAGTGACTTTGAGGAAGTGTCGTGGGATAGACTTGAAAATTTAGGCTTCTGATTTTTTGTACAGAGCTCATTGTAGGTGCATTAGCACGTTCTAGAGCACTTTACTCAGTGCTTTCAAAGAGCTGCCCCTGGGCTGTCACAGGATGAATGCTCAAGTTCCTGGAGTGTACAGGACACCCTTGAAAACATGAGCATTGTTCACTGGGTGCCTCTGCTTGATCTTCCTTAAAATGGCAGGTATTTTCTCTCCCCAAAGGAGTGCATCAGTGTTGGTGAAATTTTCATTGTTATTAACCATTGACTGGAAGGAACTGCTGGGAACCCAAAAGCTGAATTTTGGTGAAGGAAATGGGCAGGCCAGGGAGAAATGTTTTGAAACGTCTCTTCAGGAAATGTGCAACCTCACTAAATGGACAACAGCAGCTCCTGTAACAGGCAACAGCTGAATTGTGTAGCTCCTTAAAAACAGAAATCAGAAACATATTCAACTGATGCATTGAATTAGATACATAAGAGCAATTTCACTGTTTCACGTAAAGAGGCACAGAGAGGTAAAGAAACAGCTGAGAAAGAAAAGGCTGATAGCATGCTGGGTGTTATTTTATTTATACTGCTATTGTTTTCCTTTTATTATTTTCTTTAGCTGCTTTCTTGGCAACTATTTCAGTTTCTCAAAGGGTAAGTGGATCAGTGAAGGGCATGAATAACTACTGATGGAGACACTTTGCTAAGTTTTCTAATCATCTTCATACCAGTGCCACTGGAGTTGTTGAATACTGAGGAATAATATATTTGTCACACTTTGCTACTCCACACATAAGCCTTTCTGATTTGCAACCATCTGCTGCTAGGAATTAGTGAATCAGTAGAAGTAAAGCAAAAGAAACCTTCATTAAGAACATGAGGCAAAACCCCAAGGCAAATACAAAATAAATTTCTAACCCCAAAAAGAGGTATTTGGTGGCAATCACTAGGAATTCATCTAGGCAGTTTGCATCCCCAAGACCCCTACCAGACCAAGTCAGGATAATCAAAGGTGCCTTGAAGGCAGGTGTCAGCTTCCTAATAGTGGAGAAGGTTGTTGCCTCACATATCTCTAGTGCAGGAAAAAGGCAGGGTACTAATGTGTATTAACTGTAATGGCCTTCTCGGGAAGATAAAATAACATAATAGCTTCCTTGCTTAGACAGATTTATTAGAAAACTCTTTGAAACTGCTGTCTTTTCTAAAGGGTGTTTTCCCAGAAGGCATGTTGTACCACCAGGTTCTGAGGTGAGTTTGGAGGATTGCCTCTAATTGTTGCAATAGTTATGAAAGTGGCTTTCTCTTTCTTGCAGCCAAAAAACTGCATCCTGACTTGTGGAAATATGCAAGAACTTGTTTTTTCTCTGATTATCTAGCACAATTCCCAATAAACACTATGATTCAAAGTCAAGCATCTTAATATCCCTGAGAATCACCTCTCAGAAAGTGATTCTGATTCAGAGAGTGGGATTTATTAATTACAGGCTTTTGTACACATTTAAGTTATGGTTCAAAATGAAGCTTAAGAACCCCTTTGTTCATGAAGTTCAGAGGCTCATCCAGGCTATGTGCATGACACTTGTGCTTCTCTATGGGTTTTTTTCCTGCATGTGCTACTGTTCTCAGAATAGTGCTGCTACCTGCAGACCTGAAAGGCACAATATTTTAAAATTTAAAAAATTTTTAAAATTAGTTTCTCTAGTCCTGATCAGTGAATTTCCTTTCTGCAATGTCACATCAGTGAATAGCTTTAATATTTCCTGCAAACAAATCTGTTTTATTACACAAAGGTAGAGGATTCTTTTTTTTTTTAACTCCCTTTGGTCTACAGGCAGCCAGAACCACTGTAGTTAAATATGATTCCTTTATCCTTTTTCTCTGGCAAGCCAGCCCAAACCCATCCTCTTGTGCAGCTGCCTTTCTCAGAGCGTCCATTAGCACTGAACTGCACAGAAGGCAAACAGGTGGTCTCCTTCATCCCTTGCCTTCTGATGTTTTCTGAGTGACACTCACAGAACCTGATGTAATAAGTGCCCAGTTTTGTCCCCAGCCTGAGCATTTCCTGATCGTGTTTTCTTGATCCCAGCACGATTTGTGAAGCAGGGAAGTGGTCATTTTTTAGTGTTCTGCCTGATGCAGCTGAAGGCAAGAGGCGGTTCAGGATAGTTCCCTTCCTTCTATCTTCACACAGCAGCAGTGCTCGAAGCAAAGGGCTGCTCTCTTTCACTTTGTATCAGTAGATCTAAGAAAATGTGTATATGTAGGCACACATATACATACATAACTACTTGCAACAAATCTTACTTCTTTAGTGTCCTGTAAACAAAGCGATTCGTAAAAATAGTCCTACCTATCCATTTCCTTTCTTTCCAAATCACATTTCAGCTCCTATCTATCAGATATCTGGAAATGTATTTCCAAGATGAGCAGGGTGCCAGGAGAGTCCTGGGGAGCACTGAGAGTGCCACATACAGCTCAACTCCTGTTACTAGGAAGCAGTTGGGCAAGGCTTTTGGTGTGGCACCCAAGGTGTGGATGTAACCTCTGCTGTTTATTTGCAGGCGCTCGTGTTAATGCCAAGGACAATATGTGGCTGACTCCTCTCCATCGAGCAGTTGCTTCAAGAAGTGAAGTGAGTAAGATTTGATTACCCTGCTTTTGCACATAAGCTGCATGCTGGGGGGAAAGGCAAGCCCTTGAGAGCCATAGTAGGTGGCATGGTGAGGCAGAGAGGGAAAGCATATTCTGTGTACAGGGCCTGTAGCACTGCAGCTGGAGGCCAGCTTTTACAAGTTAGTTATAGCTGCTTTTGAGCCTTAATGTGGATGATTTTCACCTTGCTTTACATTAGCAAGTCATACCATCAGCTGGAGTAGGTGACCAGGATTGGCGTGGGATAGAGTCCACAGTGTGCCCACATCATCTTCAAGTGGTGAAATAAAGAGGAATAAATCCATGTGGATGCGTACATGCTGTGCATGTGCCAGAAGGGAGTGGATGTGGATGTGATCCAACACACATTACATAGTTTGTTTTGGTTAACTGCATTTCAAGGCATCCGTTAGGTTTTCTGTTAATGCACTTGATTCATGCGTGAGGGAGGGTTTGCCCATATTTCTTCTACTTGACAAATAAAAATCTTCTGGCGTCATGTTGTACCTCTTCTGTTGCTGTCTTAAAAAGGAGCAGCAATAACTATCAGGAATGCAGTTCAGGCACGACTGTATTTTCCACTGCACCATTATTCTTGGCGTTCCATTGTAGACCTCCCTGTCTACTCTTATCCTCCTAATACTTAGTTAACAGTGAGCCCAACTGCAGACTGAATTGGCTGCTGGGGATGAGGGGAGGGGTTGTAAAAGAGACAGTGGGTGGCTGTCTTCCAGAGACTGATGGGCTCGAATCACCTCCGTAACAGTCCCAGCGCTTGCCAAGCCTGGAGGCAGGAATCCTGGGCTTGCTTCTGAACTTGGGCATTGTTTGGCTGCTGGCTGAGCTTCCCAGCTGCTGGCATCCACTGAAACTCTCTGAAAGGAATATCTGATAGAGTATGAATGCTGTAATGAAGCAAAATACAAAAAGCCATGTTGGAAAACAAAGATCAGACTTGAACCTTAAAAAACAGCCACAGTCTTTCTGATGCGGGAATTGCAGCGTGCTTGGTTTCTTCTTTTGGATGTGTCAGAGTACATGATTTTTATTGTCAGTGACAGTCCTAACAGAAAATGTATGTCTTTCTGTGGATTTGAGTCTCGTTTTTAACTCTTTGTCAGCTGAAGCACAATGAGAAAGTGTGCTGGCAGTTGTGGTACCTCACAGTGAGTACCCAGGTGCATTAGTGAGGCAGCAGGGGAGTGCCTTTGATGCCTTTTTGTGGTCTGCTATGTATTTTATAAACACATGTAACTTTCTTCTCCTGGCCTTTGTTCTTTGTTATTTATAATATAAGTGCTATTTTTGGTAATAATTTTGAAACAGGATTTTTGAGGCTCTTTCAGTTCTGCTTTTTACTTTATTACACAAGTGAACAAATGTGCAGCTGCAATAGTGGTAGTAGTAGATAGCAGGAGGTGAATTCATAGCTCACATTGATAGTAGGAGATGAATTAAGGGTCTAGGAGTTCACCAGTAGGACTCATTGTAGTTTGTGAAGTTCTTGTGAGTATAGTTGCTTTCAGAATGATCACCAAGAAATTTTAAGTTTTGTTATCAACCTTTCACTATTAAGCTTTCACAGGATTCCGAATCTGTTTTCTTGAATCCTTTTTACATGTTAAAAGCATGAACACATTTTTAGTTATATCTTAATGATTTTTCAAGTGGGATTTAGGGATTTAAATGTTTATTTACAAATCAACAACGCTCAGGTGTGACTGTGTAGGATTGTTAATGGATGTTATCAGCTTTCAGCCTTATAGTTGAAAAAGTAAAGATATTTCACTGTGATAATTTGGGATAGCTACAGACACTGACTGCAGAGGCTTACACCATAGCTGTGCACTGCATGCATATGTAGAGACTATATTAATAAAAGGGGAAAGCTCATGCTCTCAAAAGCAATAGAATTTAAAGTTCTCCATAAGGACTCTTCACTTTTGATCCCAAAACTGATAGAGCAGCAGATTGTAACAGATGTAAACAAAAATGTGTAAATGGGTTTTTTGGTTTTATTTTTTAAAAGTCTAGATATTTTTAGTTCAGGCTTTTCAGTCCTTATTACTTACTTCTAAAAATTCTCCTTTAACTTTTTCTTTCTTTCATTAAAAGTGCATGAATTTTCCTGCTGACTTCATGTCCCAACTGAGTAGGTCTCCAGTGAATTACATTTAAATGACTTTTAAAATAGTAGACCTGTAATTTAAAAAACAAAATCCTATTGAGACATCAACAGCCATATATCATTATTGATGCTGTAAGAGATGCAATGTCATTAACTGAAAAAAATCTGTTAGAAAACAGTTTGTGAGATGGCTGTAGAAAATGAAATTGCTGAGATCATTTGAGGACAAAGAAATACTACTCCTACTAATGTATGTACTGTTGATACAGACTGCAGGCGCCCTCCTGGGCCATTCTACACATGAAAGTGCTATTTAAATACACTGTGTGCATTTGTTATTCATTAATAAAATTTTGGCTGGGCTTACCAGAAAACTTTTCAGTTTATGGAAAAAGAATAAGGTGCTGTTGTAGGACTAGGGCTCTCTCACTTACCAGATGTGAGTTGTATTTAGCAGACAAGGCTACTTGAATGCTACTGTGTCCCCAGTGGTTCCTTCCTATTTTGTTTGTTCACGGAGAAAAAAGGAAGAAGAGACAAAATGTAATTTTGAGAAAAACTTGTTTTTCTCCCAGACTTGCTTAATGGCAGATACATGAGCAGAAGCAGGAAAGAACTGATTGTGAATTCTCCAGTGAGACGGACTCTCAAGAGAGAACAACACATTTTCTCACTGGGAAATATTCATTTTTAACCAACAAAATTAACCTTAAAAGATGTTGTTTGGTCTCAGGCTGACAGAATGGATACTACAGTGAAGACCCTTGGCTTATGCTTAGCCCTTAGGGAGGAAAGGAATGCTAATGCTAACTTGGGGACACCAACGTTCTCATGTTTTTGCAAAGCTAAAACTTTGTTTTCACAAATTCTTTATCGTCTCATTTTTCCTGTTTATAAATACAACTAACAGCAATTTGCTGTTATTTTACTGTCCAAAGTGACATGCTTTTCAGTTTATAAGTGATTGCTGTAACAGTATGTATTGGGATTGCATGTCAGGGTTCTGGTAGTGGGGGGCTGTAGGGGTGTCATCAGTGAGAAGCTGCTGGAAGCTTCCCCCCATGTCCGACAGAGCCAATACCAGGCAGCTCCGGGATGGTTCTGCTGCTGGCCAAGGCTGAACCCACCAGCAGGGGTAGTAATGCCTCAAATAAGTACATCCATTTCTTCTGTTGCCGTGAAATTTTGGTGCTGAAAAAATCTCCAGAGCAGTTAATTAGGGGTGAGATAAGAAAGGGTTTATTTTGCCAAGGCTAAGATGTTACAAGACGCACGCAGGCTGTGCCTGAGAGGTTACATTTTATAATACCATCTATCCAATCCCAGATGTGTCCACCCTGTGGCCTTTACTCTGGTCTGCCCCGGGTCCACCCCCTGAGAAATGGGTCTGGGGGTTTTGGGACCCCCTGTTCATCCCACCTTCCTCTTCATCAGAGCACAAAGGGTACAGAGTTACCTAATTCTTGATCGTATTCTGTGATATGCTGTTCTGCCAACAATCTAGGCCTTGCCTTGACAAAAGACTAAACACTTCTGTTATATTCAGGGGTAGGATTGATATAGGGAGCATAGAATGGGGTAAGAGGGTTAAGGAATGTGTAAACAAGGGTGCTAGGGAAAGGGACAAGGGACAAAGGAGGGGGGGGGTTTGCTGCTTTTAAAATCTACTTCCACTACTTATAAAACTTACAAGTCTTACAAATATTAGAAAAATAAAAAACATTAGGGGCTTAAGGCATCACTTCACTGAGAGCACAGTTCTGATGACTGTGGTACTGAAGCTTAATTGACTGAACAGGCTGGGCTCTCTTCATAGGCAGCTTTGGACATCCTCAAATCCAACTGGGAGATTTGGACTGTGAGGCCACTGCTCTAAATGGCAGCAGCGGTAACGCGTGCTCTGGCATTTGAATGAACAGTGCCATTTCAGTACCCTGGGAGGTTGTTCTGATAAATGTTATTCTCCTTCCCTCCTCCTGGCCATGTGTGCTGTGCATGAGTGACGTGCCCAGGCATTGTGACTGAGCTGTCGAGCAGGTGGGCCGGGCCTTTATTCCGACTGCGTGGTCACGCTGTGGCTGTGCTGCCGTTGCAGGAGGCAGTGCAGGTGCTGATCAAGCACTCTGCCGATGTCAACGCCCGGGACAAGAACTGGCAGACGCCGCTGCACGTGGCTGCTGCCAACAAGGCGGTGAAGTGCGCGGAGATCATCATCCCCCTGCTGAGCAGCGTCAACGTGTCGGACCGCGGGGGCCGGACGGCGCTGCACCACGCGGCACTCAATGGCCACATCGAGGTGAGCCGCCCAAGAGCCCGACCGACCGTGGGCTTAATTTGTTTTCCCGTTTCATGCACTTGACCTGCTGTGGTTGCGTCTAGACTGACCCCCCCAACCCTGACCCCCGCGGTTCCTGCTGCTCAGCTGCTTTCCAGACTGAGTGACAGGTTTCCTACCTGCGGAAATAGGACAGTGGCTGGAAAGCACCTGTGCAGAGCCAGCGTGCAAGGGAGATGGGCATGCAGACATGGAGAGCTGGCTGTGCCACCGCTTCCAGCTGCTCCAGGGTGTCCTTGGCTTTTTGTCCTCTGGACTGCCCTGTGAAAATAAGAGATTGGAAAGAATGGAAAACTGGTGGATTCATCTCTTACTGAAGAAATGTGCAGCTGTGTGAGATCCAGTCACTCGGCTTTTCTAATTAGTCTTCTAGAAAATGTGCTTCTGTTTTTCTACTTACACAAGCAAACCCTTCTAGTATTATTACTGTGAGAAACAGAGACCCAGTCGGGCAATTTCCAATCAGAATTTATTATATGATAAAAGCAACTTCAGCGCTGGGTGATCAGGGAAGGGGTCCAACAACTCCCAACGCCTGTCACACCCAAAGAATACAGTTGTTCTACATTTATTTCCAGCTACTTCATGCATATTCATTATACATAAGCATAAACATTACACATTGTTAGGTACATGAGTATAAACATTACACATTGTTAAATCAGACTTTCAGCAGATGTTCGCTTGTTATCTATACAAAGTTATAAATTTTAAGAAAGGTGCTATTATCTAGCTAACTAAACAAAATTCTCTCACTATAAATCCTACACAAGGTAAAAGGGAGGTAACTTGTTTTATCTCTTTATAGGGGCCCAATTAAGTTTTACGACTTGTTTTTCTTTTCTCTTCAGATCATATTGACCTTACACTGTTTTTCTCTTAATTAGCTCGAATCATTTTCTCAGTTTATCACAATTACTGTTTAATTATATGAGAAAAACTATAGTTTTGTAAATAAAACTGCTATGTAAATGATTTTGCTAGAATCTTTAGATCTGGGTACAGTGATCTTCATTGCTCCATTTCACACCTGATGATCAAGATATTGAAGAAAAACTCTTAGACTGGAGCAATAGGCTTCTGTCAGCAAAAGTTGATCAGTTATACTGTAATTAAAAGAAGGAAGAGGAATGGCAGCTCCTGTAAGATGATGGTGTTTGGCCCTTAAAATACTGCACTGTAGGAAAAAGACAGTAATGTTTTGTGTCTAAACATCATAATCTAAAGCTCCTGAGCTTTTGGATAGAGAATATCAGAAATGTGGACTGAATATCTGCTATTATTCATTGATCCCTGTGGCAAAACAGCGTAAGAGAGGAAGACAACCATCTGTAATTTATGACTTCAAAATGTTTAGCTGAAAATTGGAGTTACTGTGATTTCCATTCTTTTTTTATTTTTCACCCTCCCCCCCTCCCATTTTTCTTCCATTTCATGTTGAATGATTGACAATGGGGAAGGCAGCTTTTCACCTCTTAGCTGTGCTGTCTAAAAGGCCAGCACTGTGCAGGAAACAGCCTGGTGCTGTCCACAGACAGTAGGCACAGGGAAACTTAAAGAAAATCACTATGGTGTGGCAAGGGATAGACACTCCTTGTGGAAAGATCAAGCAGATCTTAGAGTTTGTTGTGACACAGTCTGGAGGAACCTTGTCCCAGTCCACAAGGAAACCGCTTAAATTGGTCTTAACAGTAAAATTAACAGCAAAGTTTCACTTCCAAAACTGTTTCTCTTCCAGGTAGTTTGCCAAGCTGGATCTGAAGCACACTGCAGTAGTAGCCCCCTCCTTGCTCTCAGCCCCCCTCTGTGGACACAGAACTTGTCCTGGTTCCTTGTGACTGTCACTGGTGCATGTGGTTAATGCACACGGCTTTGAACAGTTTGTGTCATTCACAAATTTATCATTCAAATACAGTGTTTTATGGTCTCACCTTTATTGGTAGATTGATTTGTTATAATCTGTTGTGTGTGATCTATAGGGTTGGTTTACTTGCTGTTGTTATTTCTAGATGGTGAACTTGCTCTTGGCCAAGGGGGCAAACATCAATGCTTTTGACAAAAAGGACAGAAGAGCTCTTCACTGGGCAGCGTACATGGGTAAGGCTTGGGCTGTTGCTCCTGCTTTTTAACTTCCTATTCACAAATGAATGGCATGTTTCAAAATGAACAAGAACAGATCTGGCCATGGAAAGTGAGTGTTGTAATTACCCTGAAGAGGAAGGGTTCAGCAGATCTAAATAAACTCTGTCCATTTATGGGTTTGCAGCTAGTGAGATCTTGGCTGTGATTTCCTTTTTAAGACAGTTAATTGTGGGCTTTTTGTGTTGCTTTTTCAATTTGTTTTTTTTTATCCTGGCTGTAGTTCCAGCCTGAACTATATTTGGGCTTGAAAAACAACAGGTTATGTTTCAGTTTTTGCTAAAGACTACTTTATATAAAGTGCAGATAACTAAGGTCATAAATCCAAGTTTATAGTGTAGCTAAATTATGATGTTCTTAAGAAATGCTTCTTAGGTGATTTCTTCCTGTTAGGAGCAAATTGTCATCTTTTATTCCAGAGTGGACAAGAGCAACCGATTTATCTGTTCAAAACATCAGTGGTGTTTCCAAATACTTCTTAATTAAATCAGTTGAGCTTATTATTCCTTCCAAGTTAAAGGAAAATTTCTTGCAGTGAGGCATTATAATTTAAAAATACTAGAAAAAGGTTGCTTGTGATAGTGGTCATGCTTGTTCAAGAGCTTTTGTTGGCCAAGCAGTTTATATTTCAGATTACAATTTGTCGAGAGTTGTGTGCCCTCCGCCAGGAACTCTTTCATTTGACCTGTCAAAAATCTTGATTTAAATCCTGGAAATCTCACTTTTGGAAGTGAGATAATAGGAGATTTCAAACTGTGAGAAAAGCATATTGTGTGTTTTTTTTGATACACACAGACAGATGGGAAGGCTCTTGCCAACAACTGTGATGTGGCTTTTGAGCTAGAGAGCTTTGGACTCCACTGTGTAGATGTGAAAGGCTTTTCCATTGTGCTGTACAATTCCACGTCTCTTCTGCACTTAAATATTTTCAGAAGTTCGTGATGTACTTTTAAAAGTATTTAGATAACATCTAAGGCCTAAATTAGCAATGGAATTTAGGAGCCTGTAGTGCAATTTAGACAGCATTCAGGATTCTGTAGTGCAATTTAGACAGAATTTAGATAATGAGACCTGAGCATCTTATCCTATAAGCCCTCACACAGTTTATTGAATGCTTAATTATCTTTGGACACTTGTAATTTGTCTCTGCAGTTTCCTAGGTCCTGCACTTGAAATTTAGTTTTCTATGTCCTCAATGGTGCTAGCAAAGAGGGTACCTCCATTTTATAATTTATTAAGGTTATTTTTTTATCACTAACAAAAAAACAAGAAGTGTTAATAGGTGTGTTTGCAGAGGACATCTATAGGATGCTGTTTTGGGAGACTTTTATTGCCATGCTCCTGTGCTCACTGTTCTGAGATTAAAACACAAACTGTTAGTCTTAGAGAAAGAAATGGAAAAGAAGTGTGGTTTTGTTCTTTTAGTCACTGGAAAACTAATTCAGTAAAGAGAAATTTGACACATCTGGGGAAGATGAATGCATGGATTTCTTGACAAGGCCTGGGGCCTAGGATTAGGAACATTTATAAAAATGCTTTTTTTTTTCCCCCTTGTAAAACTGTGGGAGCATTTTAAAATAGCAGTGAAAGGGCAGTGCATTAGCAAGAAAGCAGTAATTTGGGAGAAGCGATGCTGTAGGATGATGTATTCATTGATAATGTCTGTCATCTTTTGAAGGTCACCTGGAAGTTGTTGCCTTACTGATTAATCACGGTGCAGAAGTGACTTGTAAAGACAAGAAGGGTTATACCCCACTTCATGCAGCTGCATCCAATGGGCAGATTAATATTGTGAAGCAACTCCTTAACCTGGGGGTGGAGGTATGTGATAATGTGCACTTTTGTAGGGTCCATGTTTCTCCATATTTAGAGATAGTCTTTTCTTTTTTTTCTTACAGATGCTGCTAAAGACATTGGCAGAGCTTTTAAACAAAAGAGGTCCCATTTTCTGGACCACCTCATGCTTCATGTAGTTTATTAGTTCAAGAGTCAGGAAACACACTGTATTAAAGAAAGTCTGATATGGACAGTAAATTCCAGGCCACCTTGCTGAAGAAATCAGGAAATATATGCTGTTCCTGCAGAAGAAGATGGACTAATGAAATTTTCCTTGACTCAGCATTTCCTTTGATATGATGTGTGGTTATTCTTAACATATCCACTACATACTTTACCTAGACAGCAGTTCAGGGTGTTTCAGTTTAGGGACCCATATTTCCTCTGTAGCTGATGGAGGGAAGGAGAAGGATTATTTTCACTGTGGAAAATAACTTTTTTTCAGGGCACAGACTTCTCTTTATTGCCATCTCCTCAAAGCAGTGGTGAGATGACCAGAAGAGCTTGCACTAATTAGACAGTTAATCAGAGATGGCAAATAAAACCATTGCATTTGCCATTGCATCTTCAGCTCACTTGATATGCCAAAAAATTGTCAGAAGTACACGTTCACAGTCTGTTGGCTGTGAAGTTGAAGGGAAATAGGTGTTGCCTGTTATTAGGTAATTACTAGCATAGCACTGCTTTAACTTCCACATTCTCCACCACTGGGGATATGATCTTTGAGACACCTGTATTTCATAGAAGGCTGTTCATGCTGTGTCTGAGTCTTGTACAGTCTGTCTTGTCCTATTTTAGAGAACAGCAGTTGAATACTAAGTTGGTCATCAAGAAGTAACATAATCTTAATTACATCTTTATAACACTGAGCTACTTGAAGTGGTTTCTTATTGAACCATAAATGGCTGTTCACTTTAACCTTTCTTTCACTCAGATTCCTTCATTCCACTTCCAAAATAAATGTATGGAAAGAGCTCTTACACCTGGGTTCTGTTCACAAAAACTCAATAGTCGCTGTTGTAATTTTTTTAAAAGTAAAGATTGTGAGCTTTTTATTTGTCTTGCTTTTCCACTTACATGTAAAAGCTTTGCAGCTTGTTAGGATTTTTTTCATCATCTTCATCATTACATAGTCCTGCTATCAGCTTTAAACTTCCTAATGGCTTTTAGAAATTGCCAGAAGGATAGAAAGTTAATAATAGTAAAGGTAAAGCATTCCAAGTTAAGCTGTCTGGGAGTGTATTTTGTCAATGAAATTTGCTGGTGAGAAATATGCCCTATGACAGTTTGAACCTCCAACTATTTCCATTGTGGTCTATGATGCATTATGTAAAATGCTAAGCTGATGTCTGTAATTTTAACTATGTCTCCTTGTCTCATTTTAGATTGATGAAATGAACATCTATGGAAATACTGCACTTCACATTGCCTGTTACAATGGTCAGGATTCTGTTGTTAATGAGCTGATTGACTATGGTGCTAATGTAAATCAGCCCAATAATAATGGATTCACTCCCTTGCATTTTGCTGCTGCCTCCACTCACGGAGCACTGTGTCTTGAACTACTAGTGAATAATGGGGCAGATGTTAATATTCAGGTAAAACTTGCATTCCAGCTCTACAGTTTTACTTTATCCTATTTGCATACCTCAGGAAGAAACTGTAATAATGAGTACAGCATGGCTTTAAATCCTTGATGGAATTAGAGTGATGCTGAGAATGTTGATCATTAAACTGTTTGGATGAGATTACTTCCCAGCAGAGGAGCTCTTAGTGCCTTGATAGATATAATGGCAGCTCTAAACTCTAGGCCAGCCACTTTCTTGAATGCACAAACCAGTACTGAAATATAGTCTCAAGAGCTCTGTCAAAATGGTATCTCAGGAGATGGTGGTAAGTCAAGGAACTTATTCCTTTCTGGTGTTTTCTTTCCCCCTATAATGTGAATATAATTAAACCTGATTCTAAACAGTTCCTTTTGACTTTCAGGGAATAAGAGCTGAAGGTTACTTGTTACCTACTTTAGAGCCCAAGCTTACAAAGTCTGATTATGTTTAGGATATCTGAATGTTCTTGAGGCACAATTGATACATCTTGATGAGGCTGAAAGGGACTTGCTGTTATCTAACAGAGGGTGGTAGTATAGGTACCAGAAGACTTGAGGTCTCTGAGTTCATATAAGATTTTGACTACTTTGGTTTAAACTCTGTGTTTCAGTGTCCCATCTATAAAACTGACATTTAACTCCTGACATTTAACACCTGTGGCAAGTCCCTTGAGATCAGTGAATAGTCTGTGCACTATTTAAACTCAGAATTATTAAAATTAAATTGGGTACTGTGCTTGCCAGCAAAGGTGAAACCCCTTGCCCACAAACATTTAGTGATGTGAGTAGTGAGGCTGGTACCACTCCTGTGCTATTTTCTCATTCCTCAGCTTCCCCAGTCTGTTTCTTTCCCTAGAACCCAAAACATTGTTCCCTATTCACTGAACCTTTCCTTTCATAAACCTTCCCTGTTTTCTACTGGTCATTTGTAGACATCTTGGTTTTGATTGTGTGGAAATTTATTAACAACAATTTTTTAGTATGGTGGTTTTTATTCTGGGATTGTCTATAAAATATATGTTGATAGACAGGAAGTTTCTCACAGACTGCTCTCCTACTTAGTTTTATGGTTCCTTTGCTGTTCTTTATTCCCCTTGTTGCAAAAGTTAAGAGAAATGACCGAATGGGATGTGTTACTTAAAAACAACGTCAAAGAATAACATGTCATATATGTGTGGGTTTTTAGCAAGTATTGTGTACCACCAGGCTGTAAGGACAGGCTCCACTCCAGCCCATTTCCTACTCATTGCTGAGGAATTGTTTTACTTGTGTGCTTACACCTTTTGCATTTGACATCATCTATAGGTTCACTCCTACAATCTTTTGAAGTCAACAGAGCTTTTTTCTGAAGAATAGCTGTAGGATGTTGAGCTGAGAGTCTTCAAATTGTCACCACCGCTTTACATGTTGAATGGTTGGGTTTCTGTTTTGTTTCTGTTAGAGTAAGGACGGGAAGAGCCCACTGCACATGACAGCTGTCCATGGGAGGTTCACACGGTCGCAGACCCTCATTCAGAATGGTGAGTTTCTGTGCTTGTTTAATGATTCTCCAAAAGATTAGGCATTTCCAGCGTTGCAGTTTTCAGTTGTTCAGACCCAGAGTGCCAAAGAACTGCTCTGAGGGCTGCTGCATCAACTTCTGGCTTTGAGCTGCACTGACAGCTCTCATTCCATCATGTCATCACAAGCTGATATTTTGGTTGTTAACAAAATCTCATAATCTTCCGGCTGACAGTGGTCCAGCTGATCTGTTCAGACTCTTATTCTGAAAACAAGAGTTGAAAGCTGTATTTAGGTCTTTTTTTCCATTGAGCAGCAAGTACAATTTTCTTTCTCAAACAATTTAAAAACTAAAAAAAAAAGAAAAAAGTCGCCAAACCAAAAACACCCCCAATAAAACTTTCTAGTTCTCCTTTCTTGGAAGCCCAGGTGTTCTTAAAGCTCAGACCATTTTCTCTACCCTGCACTCAGCAGCTGTACTTCTCTGACCTCCCTGAGCTCACCCCTCACCACTGTCTTCATGAAGTGTTGAATAAATACTCTGGAGGGAGGAGCAGCACTACCTTGTTTGTTCTGGCATAGCCAGGATACCTGATTGTCAGTCATTTATCAGGCATCTTTTTTGCCCAAGAGCATTACAGAGTGTAACAGTTATTGTTGCTGGAGATCTGGCAGAGGCTTGTTTCTGATTGACAGAGGTTGCTATTACTGATTTTTTACTTAAGCTTCCCAGTTTTGGCCACACTAGACAGGATGGTCTGGAGTTTGGTCATTGTTTGGGGATTTTATTGTTTTCCCAAATCCCAAACTTGGAACTGTGATATCTTGAAGATGGCTGAACAGTTATGCTGTAAATGTAATGGCACATTTAAACAAGATTGTATTTTAAAATGAAGGTGTCCAGTACATCATGCTTCTTTCAGGTCATCGTGCAAATTGTTGCCATATCTTTCCTGGGATAAATAAAATGGTAATAATAAAAGGGACCTGGGGCAAACTGGAAGAAACTGTGATTTCATGCAGTTTTTAGTTGTTTACTTTAATATGCTTTCTGACTTAGAGCCACTGTTTGCTTGCTATTGGATTTGTGTTTGGAAGTACTGGCAGTTTTTCACCTGTCCTTCACACATCTCTGCTCTTCAAGTTACTTGGATTTCACTTTTTTGCCCCTCGAATTTTAGTATTGTACATAGATCTGATTGCAAGTGACTTTATGCCTCATTGCCATGGGACATTGTGGAAGAGAGAAATGTCAATGATTTAAAGAAATGGAGTTTCATTCTGCAGTACTTAATGAGTTGGCTAAAGATGTCTCAATTTTTTGTTGCTGTCTCTAGCAACCTGTAGGAGAAGAATGGATTACTTTAAGATTGGAAAACTGCAAATGTGATACCTATCTTTAAAAATGGGGAAAAAGAAATGCTGGAGAATTTTACAGGGGTCAGCCAAAGTGGGCAATATCTTGCATAGATTTCTCAAGAGTAAAAGAAGTCAAAATATCACAATTCTCTTCTACAGCATTTTAATAGGCTTTGTGAACACAGTACAGTCCCCCAACTTTTCTGTGGGCAGGTAATGTTTGTGGAGACCTCCACTGGTGGAGGCTCCATCCCAGGAAACCTGTCGAAGCACTTCACTGACCTTTATTCACCATTAGAAAATCATAGAATGACCTGGGTTGTAAGGGACCTTAAATATCATCTCATTCCATCTCTCCTGCCATGGGCAGGGACATCTTCCACTAGATCAGGTTGCCCAGAGCCCCATCCAGCCTGGCCTTGAACACTTCCAGGAATGGGGCATCCACAGTTTCTCCAGGGATACTGTATAGTGCTTTACTAGAACTTTTCTTGTTGCAGTTATGGCCTATTATCTCCTGTGAATAGTGGACATGTAGTAAATATTAACATATACTGACGTTAGAAAGACTTTTTACATGCTTTATTAAAACAGTCTCACAGCAAACTAGCTTAGTATTAAAGTATTATAGTGCTGGTGCATAAGTGGTTGAAAAGCCACACTCAGAGATTAGTAATAAATGGTTTGTTGTTGAAATGGAAGGTGGGTGAGGGAGTTTTCAGTTTCCTTTCTGGGTCTGGAACTATCCTGTATTTTCATTAAAAACTTGGATAGTGGAATAGAAAATGTGCTTTTAACATTTGGAGAAAAAAAAATTAATTTGGGAGAGACTGTTAGTTTGGCAGAAAGTGGAGTCAGAACCAAAAATGATCCTGTAAAACTGGAGACAGGAGTTATAATGCAAGTGAAGCAAAAGAAAGATCACACATGGAGGCAGCAGTATCATTTGGACAAGTTCAGATTGGCAACAACCAGGTGGGTGGCAGTTCCTTAAGAAAGGATCTGGGTTTTGTAGAGAATCAGAAGGTTGTTGACCATAAGTCAACAGTGTCATGGTGCTTTAAAAATGCTCATTGATGTACTACATGTGCTGGGCAGAGTACAGGAGTGCATAGACAGGAGCATAGCCAGCAGGCATGAATTAATCCCTTTTGCTCAGCTCAGCGCTGGGAGACATCAGCTGTAGTACTGGTTTTGGCTTTTGACATTTTACTTCCAGAAGGATGCAGGCCAGCTGGAAGGATGAGAATAGTTGGAGTACAGTAAACCTGGGTTTCAAGGAGAGACTAAAAAAGTTACAGTTCTCAGTCCAAAAAGAAAACAGAGCTTTGATCATAGTCTGTTTAAAGAAATAATCTATTTTTCTTGCTTGTGAAGATAAAACACAAGATGCCAGGCTTAAATTATAAGGAAAAGTTCTACTTAAGCACTGTTTGGTTGTTCTTGGGTAAGATGCAGAAAAAGCACACAACACACTTGTTTGCAGTGTGTTCCTGGTGGCCTCCTGAGCGAAATCCATTTAACATTGTTGTCTTACAGGTGAGGTTGAGTGGCAGTGCCTTTAAGAACGAGGACATGGTTTATTCAGCAGTTTATATCGTTATTTTAATTCAAGGCATCCATTTGTACCTTAAACGGGCAGCATGTCTGAGTGATGCACTTGACCCTTGTATATCATCCTGTTCACCAGTTCCCACCACTTTCCCCCACTTTCCCCCACCACTGCAGAGGTAAAAATGCTGCTGCCAGGCCACATTCAGCACCAGTGGCTGACAGCTGACAGCCTGCTTTGTGCTGGTTCTTGGTCTCTGAAATTTAGTGTCTCTGTGGCTGGATTGGTTACGCTGCATTCACTAGAGAGAAATAACACTTGTGGTCACTGGTTCAGGCTGAACCTTTCAGTGTTAAACTGTATGAAAATGTCTTTTGCAGGAGGGGAAATCGACTGTGTTGATAAGGATGGTAACACCCCTCTGCACGTGGCTGCAAGATATGGACATGAGCTTTTGATTAACACACTCATAACCAGCGGAGCCGATACTGCCAAGTAGGTGCTGAAGTGGAGCTGTTTCTAATGATCAGGTGTTATGTCTGATGCCTGGAAACACAATTGTTCCTCAGGTTCTGAAGTGGGAAGGTTAAAATGGATAAGCATAATTGTACTGTACTTCAGAGGGGAGTGCAGGACTAAAATATGAACAACTAGGAAGTGTGGAGGGGAAGAAAACTCTGCTAAGTTCTTATTGTGCCCAGTTACACTATTACATGCATATGTATATATGTATATATATATACATATATATATGTATATATATATACATATATATATGTATATATATATACACACACATATATATATACATATATATATGTATATATATAAAGTGCATCCTGATCACAATTCTTCCAGGAAGTCCATAGCAATGAGTTTGTATAGGAAACTTAATTGAAAAAAAATTCAGAATCTTTCCAAGGGAAAGTATATTCTTAGGTATCTAAATTAACCTAATGTTTATGATCTTTCCTACGTAGTGATTATTCCTTTGCCTTGTATCTTTTGGTATGACATAAGATAATTAATAGAAATGCAGTATTGCAAAGCAGATGTTAGTAAGTATTTCTGATCTCAGAATAACTAGAGCCTGTCTTGATGTTTCTGATATTCATGTGGCTGAAATAACAGGGCTGCTTTTGTCCAAATTGGTGAATTTGGCAGTCTTTTTCAAACAGAATGGCAAGGAGCTGAAATTAGACACATTTGTGAATGTTGTTAGTGCGTTCTGCTTCAATTCAATTTTTTTTTTTCTCTTGCACATGTGTCAAGAGTGCATCCAAAATATGATTAGTATTGTCAACTCAAATGGTGCTTGATTATTAATACTTGAGTACTGTATAATAATGTTCATGTTCTTACAGTCTGTCAAAAGAAAATAGCAAACCTGAACATAAATAAAGGAGTATGAGATCAGGGTAACACAATGCCATGGGGGGTATCTGTACCAAGTGTTTAATAGCAGCATCTGATTTCATGAATGTAAGGTTTTGGCAATTACCTCTGCATGTCTCAAAAACATAATTTGTCTTCTACCTAGAACCTGCCATAGAAATCAGTGACTTCTCTTGACTTACCTAGTTAGGAAAACCTGCTTTCAAATTCAAATGAGCTGCTTTTAATTTTGAGGATACTTGCAGCTCTCTCAGTGTTTTGTTTGTTTGCTTGATGGCATTTAAGAAAGTAACAAATTTGGCTACGCTCCTCTGTCAAGTACAACTGTCGCTGTGCAAACTCAGAAGGTGGAACAGATCTTCAACTGGCATGGATAATGAAATTCCACAGGCTTTAGCTAACGTCACTGGGTTTTATTAATATATCCAGCATGAAGATCCTGGTGTCTAAATAGACGTGTATGTTTTTCCTATATCTCTCTCCAGTGCAGTCTGTCTCAGTCTATTATATTGAGGGTTTAAGGGAAAATGAGATGCAGTGGGATAGCCCACTCTTGGAGTCAGGGTTATCCAGCTAGAAATTTCTATTTCACAGTTGGGTGACTGGAACATTGGTCAAATAAAATACTTTTTCCAGCAGCAGAAATAAGTGAAATAAGAAAGTTGGCTCAGAGATACCAGGCGGATCAAAATGATGCTACTGTCTGTGTTAAATGTGCTTTCATATGTGCTGCATGTAAATAAATCTGGCTGAGCTCCTTCAATGGGCTTAGTAAAGAAAATTCTGCAGTGCTGTTAGCAACAACTGCAGACAGCTCAATCAGTCTTTGAGGCAACTGCATTTGGAGGAGAAAGTGTATAAGTGATGGGAGGAACCAGTGGGAACAGCAAGTAGAAGTGGGATGTTGGTTAGCAGATGTGCAGACAGTGTATTTTGATGGAAACGAGCTAAAACATGCTGGATGGAAATCTTGACCTAAAAGATGAATAATATTGCGTTAGATAACTAAGTGGAGGAGGAGATGGAGAGAAATGGGTGTAGGAAGAAGCACAGCAACACAGAATGTCCAATATTACCTTATATAAATGAATCTACAGCTAGAAAATGCAACCTGTTGGTACAGATGCAGCACCTCGGTGAAGCTTGTGCTGTTTTCTTCAAAGACCAGGCTGTCAGATCATCTCTTAATAGATTTACTGTAAGATATAGATGCTGACTCTAGCAGAAGTAAAATTTGTACAGCACCACAGGTCACTCCTCAGTGTAGTGAAGCAGCAAGGAGGGTGCATTTAATGTGAAGACCAAGGAAAGAGACTCCTGTGGATTCTGGAAAGAATAAAGTTTTTAAAAAGAAACTGAAATTAGTTAAATGCATTTTTTGATAGAATGTTGGAGAGAGCAAAATATCTTTACAAACATTCACATTAATTTTTGTTTAAAGCTTCATAAGTAATTATGATTTATGGTGGGTCTTGCAGAAAGACAAGTTCCTTTGTTTTTGGGTCTGTATCTGAAATCCTCTTCCATGAGGTGATCATACTCTCCCATCCACCAATTGTCTTGCAGAAGTGAAGGACTGATATGAATCCATCTGCTATTGTTCCAGAGTTTGTAATTTAAAAATATATATGTCTGCTGAAGCAGGCAGTAGATGATAATCTTGTCGAGCTTGGTTTCAGAGGCTCTGTGTTTATGTGCACTTGGAGAACTGCCAGTAGGATAATATTTCTAGAACAGCCAAATGCTTTACATAAAACAATGCTGAATGGCAAGACACCAAGATGTCCAAACCCAAAAGTATTCTAAGACAGTAAGCAGTGGCATGCCTAGGAACTGCATTGGGATGATTTGCTGATATTAATTAAAGTTGCTGAGTGCTCAGCTTGTTTAAAAATTATGTGGTTGCCTGATACAGATTTAGCCTAATGATAGGTGCCTACCTTTCTTTTTTTACCCATCATGTCTGCTCTGAGAAGTTTATAGTGTAATTGAAAAGAAGGTTGGTCATGTGTTAAAGGGAGGAAAAAGTGAAAGGGAGTGTGAGGAGAGTAGCTGGAGCAAATAGGAAAATTAGATTATTGGTTCTTACGATCCAGAAGAAAACTGTGACATGGCAACCTAAAGGCAAGTGTGAAGAGTCATCAGCTACTCCAGCCCCAGGAGAGAGAGGGAGAAGAAGGAGAGGCTTTGTAAACCCACATGAGAATTGTCTAAAGGATGTCAAGTGCAGAAAAAATGGGTTTCAGAAATATATAGAGAAGATTTTGGCATTTACTTTTAGCTCAGAATGGCAGTTGCAGTATGTGTACTTGGTGCAGAAATTTGTGCATCCCACACTGGGCAATTGACTCCAAGCATTATCTGTTCTCTCTCTTCCTCCCTTACCTTTGCTTCGCCTTGAATTTTTAGAAACCTTCCTGCCACATTCTGTTCAAAGCAGAATGCCAAGATTTTGCTGCATCAGAGTATTTTTAACTCCTGAGAAGGCTGTTAAGGAAATACAGATAAAAATAATGGCAGGCACCAAGGAAGAATCTTCCTAGAAAAGGATAAAAAAGTGCTGCCTTTCTGGAGGGAGTTTTTGATGTGCTGTGTCTGTATGCAACCTGCATTTTCACATGACAACATGTAACGAGGCTGTTGTGCCTTTCAGGTGTGGGATCCACAACATGTTCCCTTTACACTTAGCAGCGCTGAACGCTCACTCAGACTGCTGCAGGAAATTGTTGTCATCGGGTAAGTCAGTCCCACAGCGTCCTTGGAGCTCGAGTAGTGTGTGTCTCTGCTGCCTACAGCCCCTTTATGCTCATTGTTGTGAACTATTCAAATGAAAGACTTCCTGTGCCCCGTGTTTGGCTGTGTGGTGCAGTTGTACCGGAGTGTGCGCGGCTTTCCTAACGGCGGGCTGGTACTTCCTCACATCCTGGAGGATAGGTTCAGAGGGTTTATATTAATTCACCAGGAGGAAAAAGGAAATTTAGGACCCTTCTCCAAACTGTAGGGATGTGAGAGACTGTTTTGTTTCGGGAGTTTCTCACCTCTCCCGCCCCCCCCAAAGAATAATTCAGAAATTGTCTCCTTGGGGTCTGCACTGGCTCAGGTGTTTACATCTCACTAAAGATGATATGTTTTAGATACAACTCAAGTGTGTTTCTGAATCCGTACAGAGTTACGGAGTTAGGCTGGCCAAAGCTCTATGGGCATGAGAGGGGAAATGACTGAATGTGTAGTGTCTTGTAAGAGTCAAGAGAGCAGTCTTGGGATCCTCAGCAAGCTCAAAGCAGAAGAAGCAGGAGCTTGCTGGTGCAACCATTTTAAAAAGGCACTAATCAGGGGTCAAATCCCAAATTCTGTTTGGGGTTTTTTTCCAGGCAAGAGTTCCCATGAGTTAAAAAATGAAAAGGCATATCATATGCCTTTTCTAGAAAACTCCTTCATTACTTAACATATAAAATGTCCTACCACTACTTTTCCCCCTAAACTATCCTGTAGAATATAAAAAAATGTGAAAAATAGTAATTACAGACCCCATTACATTAAACTGTGGTGCCCTCTGGCCTTGACCACTAGGAAGGAAGAGAAAATGCTCTGGGTGACCAGAGTTAGCACTGCCAGGATTATATCTTTGGCCCTGTGCATCTTGATGAATATTCCTGCATGCTCCTTGGAAGCCTCTTTCCGATCTGAAAACCACACGCAATAAAACCAGCCCCAATTCATGTTTAGGCTGACTCTGTGGTTCTTCCTCGTGTCTCTGTATTTTCTGTCTTCGTGTCCTGCTGTCGCAGTCCTCTCGATAAGTATCTGCCTCATAAATGCCTGTCACGGGGCTGTAAATAGGGATGTGGCGCAGAGCTGGATGCGGAAATAGTCGCTCGTCAACTTTGCAGCTCTTTTTATAGAGCTGCCAAAGCCAGGCAGCCGCTCGCCGTTCCCGTGACAACCTCTCTCTGACTGTAGTTGCTTGCGTTCTGTTTTTTTCCAACTAACTGATTTTTCTGTCTCTGCGGTGTTTCCTGTGGTTTAACTAGGACAAAAGTATAGCATAGTGTCCTTGTTTAGTAATGAGCACGTGCTGTCTGCAGGCTTTGACATAGACACCCCCGACAGCTTCGGAAGAACGTGCCTCCACGCTGCCGCTGCAGGAGGGTGAGTAGCTGGGGCTGGAGCTGGTTTAAGTGATGTTGTGGCTTCGTTGCAGGTTTGCTGCCAGCCAGCTTGACTGTGTCACCCCCAGGGGAATTTATTGATGTGCAAGGGAAGCGAAGGAGCCTGATGTCAAAATTGAGGCTGTCCTTTGCTACTACCCTCGTGTTGGGGTGTGCTTGCAAAGGAAAGGAGATGATCTGAATCCCTCTGCTGTAGTGAGCTGGGTTGTGATTTGAAGCATGGGTTTCAGGCATAGGGTAAAACTCTTTCTTATCATGCCCATGTGAAGACTGCTTCAGCTTCAGTGGGGTACTGCACACTCACCTAGCCCTGCCCGTTGGCCACAGAAGTCACTGAGGGCCAGCAATCTGCAGGAAATCATCAGTTCCTAGGGCACAGCAAGTGAGGAGTAGGAGCTGTAGATCTGGGATGCTGCTGGCAGGGATTATTCCTGGCCTTTGCCTTTGGACTTTGTCCTTGTCCGAAAATGCAGTGGTGCCCATCAGATTGCAACCTTGGAGTCCAAATGTAGTTCATCTCCCTCTTTAATTTTTCAGGTGCAAGTTTAAAAGTTTCTAAAAGAGAAACCAACCCAGATCCAACCAACCAACCAACCAACGCCCAACCTCCAAATTAGAAAGTCAAAAGACTGTCCTTCTCTCAGGGTGATGCATTCCTGACAAGTGCTGGGAGGCCAGAAATGGAAATTGCAATGAAAATTGAAATATGTCAATTTAAGCTGTAAATGCAGCATTCAGTTAGTTTAAACATTTCCAAACAATTGTCAGTGAAGTGCTGTGATGTTAACCTAGCAGAAGGACAAAACGTTTGGCAAGCATTGAGTTTTGACTCTTCTGTTGAGTACTTTATGGCTCAGAAAACAGCTGAAATGGAGCCTTGGCTACAGCCCATCTTGGATTCTCTGTGGTTATATCAAGCAGAAATGCTCATCCACAGCAAATACTTGGCAATCTTTATAGAAGTTGCTTTTTCTTCTCAGTGAACCAAAATATATATTACCAAGTTTTTGTTACTACAAAAGAAAAAGCTAATAAAATCGATCCAAATATTGGTTTTATTATTCCTGTGGTATTGCTCTTCCTGATACTTCTCTCACATTAATAGAGGAGATGTGACAGTTGCTTGGATGAAGTTTATTATAATGTAGTTCAGATGCTACCTCTTTGATAAGGCTACACCCCCAAAGCATAATAAAAACATCCTGGAAGTCTTAAAGAGAAGTAGAGGCTTTATAAGAAGCAAAAGTGGCTCATGAAAATAAACCATATTTTCCCAGTGGTTTACTATAATTGTCACACTAGCAAGTGTTTTTATTTTTAGTACGTTGTGGTGAGTGTTCTGTAGTTATTTTATGCAATTGCAATTTAGAGTAGGGATCAACATACTCCAAAATATTGCATAATTGCATCCAGTCCTTTTTTTTCCCCTATAACTAGAGATATACAAAAGGCATTAGTTTTTTCCTGACACATGCCTGTTACTCCCATTACATTAATGGGAGTTGCATGGGTGCTAGGAAAAGAACATAATTCAAAGGCCTGCTCATCTGAATGTGAACACAGGTGATTTATTGCTTCTGTGAATGACAAGGATTCTTGGAAAGTGCTGCACTTCTTTGTGTCATTTTCTGGCTTGGAGTCATACCTTAATTTGCTTGAATTACAAAAGATGTGAGAATTCAGCTGATTTTGTTTCCTATTAAAAATTACCTGGCTTTAAACAAGATGAAGAAACAGCTATGGTGTGGTGAATTCTCCCCCACTTATATAAATGCCATGTTGATATGACCATCACTTTAAATAGCTGTGCCCCTTATTCAGCAAAGTGCTTGGAGATGTGCTTAGATCTATCAATAGTCCACAAATCATGTGGGAATAAACCTAAAAGTGACTCTTGTGATTCTATCTCACTAAGTAAACAGCATCTGAGCAAAGTGCTTACTGCTGAATGCCTTGCTGAATGGGGGTGGATGTCGTTAAATGTCACCTCTTCATTATTAGACTGGCATTTTAGAAGCAACAACTTTCTTTATAAATTCTCTTATAAAATGCCAGTTCAGTGTGGGAAGCACTAGAGTACAGCTCCCATTGAAAATCTCCAAACACACTGAATTCTGATCACATTTACTGTGCTCTCTTTGGAAAATTAGTTTCTTTTTCTCTTCTACAGAAGAAAAGTTTGAGGTTTTTTAGGAAAAAAAAAAGGAAATAGTATTTTTAAAGCTTCATTTTCTGTTTGATAGAATTTCATGTTGTAGTTGCTGTACCGTGGTTTTGCACAGCAAATAATACAAAAATGATTAGAGTAACTTTTTCCTTTTGGGGGAGAGGAGGCAATACAGATGTAAACTTCTGTTTTGTTCATGTTTTATTTTCTTTACTTTTCTTTCCAGTAATGTAGAATGTATAAAACTCTTGCAAAGCAGTGGAGCAGATTTTAATAAGAAGGACAAATGTGGAAGGTAGGTAAAATATGAAGCTCTTTTAAAAAACAAAGAATCTATCAGACAAGAAAGAAAGGCCATATAAGTCTGGAAATCATATGTTCTATGAAAAATGGCAGTAAAATAAAGTAGTTTGGCATTCTCTGCAGAACTCTTGCTGCTGCAGTTATATGCCAGACAGACAGGTGCAGACTTCATTAAATACATTAAATCCATCCCACCCTCTTGAGGTTTCTGTTTTAAAAATATCACAGTTTTTTTTCTTAATGTCTAAATTCTTGTGCTTGTGTGCCTAAGACAAGCCTGGGTTATGATGGTAGAATAGCTGTCACTTGATGTGCTTCCTGGAGTATTCCTCCCTCCCATGAAGCATTGCTATGCCAGCTAAACAAGCTGCTGCAAGGGACACTGTGCTTTGCTCTGCCTCCCAACTGGAAGAAAGTAACATGTATGTAGAGCCACAACAGAGGCTGTCACTGGGAATAGGTTGTTTGCAAGACACTTGCTGATGATCTGTATCCTATTAGACTTTGTAGGAGCACCAGAGCTTCCTATTAACACAATATTTTGTTAAATTCCCATAAATGAAGGTGCTGATATTGACTGCAGGAAATCTGTAGGAATGCAACACTTAAGATTTATCTTTATCCTTGGTTGTGCATATTGGAATATGAGGTAACAAATTGCCACTTATGTTCCAGGACACCTTTGCACTATGCAGCTGCAAATTGCCATTTCCACTGTATTGAGACACTGGTGACAACAGGAGCCAACATTAATGAAACAGATGAGTGGGGCCGCACCCCTTTGCACTATGCTGCTGCTTCTGACATGGACCGAAAGTAAGAAAGCCTCTGCATAATTCTTGGTTTGAGTGTTTTGCTAAATCAGAGTCATTCTAGTCTTTTCATGTTGCCGTGTAGTTTGAGCCAAAAAAATGATCCCGCTAGCAAAGGAATTCCTCTCAGATGTCTGCAGAGCTCCACGCTGAGTGACTCTGACTATAAGCCAAATCCCCAGGTGATGTGGCATTTCGGCTCCATGGTTTACCTTTGAAGTAACACACAATTTTGCAGCCACCCTGTCCTACTAAACTAATTTCACAACGTTTTGCCTTTCTGTTTTCCTCTGTGTGGTTTCCTCGCAAGAATAAGCTCAGTGAATTTTCTACATCTCCTGCACGTCCATCAGAAGGGGCGGAGCGAGAGACAGCAGGAGAGGTTTTACTAGGTGGGCTGCAGTTACAGACACCTGGCCATTCTGACAGATTTCTGGATAAGATGGGATGGATCTAACCATCAGTCTCACTCCACTGTCAGAGCTGATAAAAATGCTCACCCTGTCCAAACAGGTTGCTTTTTTAGAGAGAGGCCTGGGGAATATCCTTTGGCAGATCATGGTGTTGTTCTTGTGAGAAAGGGGGAAAACAACTTAGAAATGCTGTGGTTAGTGACTGCAATTTTAATTCCTAGAGAGTTGCATATTTTGGCAATCTCTTCCTTATAACATACTGTATAAAACAGACTCAGTTATCCAGTTAGTTCTTTCTTAAAACTTAGCAACCTGTATTTATTTTAGGTCATCCTGTGCTTCTCTGTCTCATTTCTTTAGACACTAAAAAACTAGTTTTTGGTTTCTTGTGTAGTAAGGTCTGGTGAAAGTACATCTGCATCATTCCCAGCAGAATACCACCTCAAAGCCACACTGGGAAAAGTTTGGTTTAACTTTATGGCAGAGTTTTGAATGCCACATCAGAGCCTTGATAGCTGTTGCATTATTTGCTATGATAACACTGATATAAAAAATGTCTTCCCTGTTGCCCTCAAAACTAAACAGTGCTGGGAAGAAGGAGGCAGGATTGCCAAAGGTCTGTGCTTGGCATTAAAATGAGGGTAGGCTTGTAGGAAGGCTTTCGCCACTGGCTGTTTCTAATTCTGTCTTACCAGGGTGAGGTGTTACTTGGGGTGTTGAGAATGATGATTCAGTGTGTGTTTTTCAGCTTTTGGTTCTAGGTAGATGAAATTCCTGCATTTAAACAAGCTCTTGGTTAACTTCAGGATGTATCTGCTTTCATCCCCCCTTTAAAAAAGAAAAAGCTTACTTTAGTCACATCCTGAACCCTGGTAGGAATATATGGCCTTTATTTGCCCTCACAGTCCAAACCTAAATTGGTTCAGATGTGGTGATGCTGTCTTCTCATTAATTTTTTCAGTTTGAGATGTTCTGGAAGAAGCCTTGTTACATGGATGAAAAGCTATTTGCAGTCCATGATTTTATAGGTCAGCAATTTGTTTTTCCTGCTGTATGTCAAAAAACTCCCAAGGTCAGGCAATCTCAGTCCAAAGAATATTCATCATTAACTTTGGATGTGGGCAGTTAATGAACAGGGAAAAGTCTTGGTGCAGTGAGGTTGCCCTATTGTTTCAGCTATTCTGGTAACTGTTGTTGTTTATGATCTTCAGAAAGTATCCTTTCCAGCAACAGAAATCACACAGCATTTTCATTAACGAGGCAATTGCAGATTCTGACTATGTACTTTTTCTCTAGATCATGGCTTATTCTGTTCAGGGAATCTTATTTTTGGGATCTCACTGATTTTTAGTTAACTGAAAGAAGATGCAAGTATGAATTCAGCATAGCACAGGAATACTGCCTATGAACTTGCAATGTTAATATTCAGGGGAGTTATTTTATTAATAATTAAGATTTTTTTCTGAGTCAGTGGGCAACAAACTCTGAGATTGTAGAACAACCCATTACTGCTAGCACCTACAGGAAGAATGTCAAATCTTGATATTCCAAATGGGAAATGGCATATTAAAGACAGATGTACTGTTTTGTGCAGGATCCGTTTGGGAATATTGTGTATTGTATTAGGATTGAAATTTAGGAAACTGTCTTTTTACCAACCTTTCAAACACTAATCCTTGATGATAGCAGCTTGGAAACATATTCTGTGTTATCCTTGGTGGCCAAGAAAGATGATGATCACAAGCTCGTGATTGTAAGATCTCAAATTGTAGTCTGTCTGCTGTGCATCCAGCTGGGAACCAGAGGTGCCAAAAATCATTGGGTATGCAGGAATGTGATAACATGCTGAGCTCTTTCAGAATTTCCCTCAGAATCTAAAGAACCTGACCACTTAATCACACAGTGTTGCCAAGGTATTTGACAGAAGGTGAGGGGATCAGCTAATGCAGATTCAAGATAGACCAATTTAGTATCAGTGATTAAAGTTGTTCTAAATCCTAAATGCTAGAGAAGAACTAGTAGGTTATTGTAGGAAGAAGCAAGGTGTGGTAATCCTGAGTTATTCTCTTGAAAAGAAAAAAGTGCACAACATTGCTGTGGGAGAAACAGAAGGATTCTAGAAAGTGATGATCAAACTGTATCTGATACAAACCAGGATATTTTTTTTTTTCTTCAGACTTTTACTTGTGGGACAATAAACTACCAGGTTATAGTTGTCTCAATAACTTGCAAAACTTAGTAACTGCAGACCCATGCAGTACACTCGTTTAACTTGTATCATTCTTACTATTGGCTGGAGGAGATCAGCTCCTTGAAGATGAGATTGGGGATGGGTGGCAGACTGCATCAAAATCACCAGTATGATACTTTGAAAATAAGTTGCATTTTTCTGTCCTCTATGCTAAGAAGAAAGAATATTTTAGGTAACTCCCATGAAAATGCTGAAGAACTTGAAAGAACCACTGAGATGAAGGAAAAAGAAGCTGCATTGTAAGTTTGGTGTCAAAAAAGCAGTTAGACTTCATTGCTGGAGAACACCACTGCTTTGGTTTGCAGTTTTACACTCTGCTCTTGCTTGTTCTTTGCTCTGCTAAACACAATGCTTGGCTTCAATGAGGGCTAACCTATAGAAAAAAGCTCCACCCTCTTCTCTGTGCACATATGCCTCAATATTTCTGTTTCTGTGCTTGTTGCCGTTTCTTAATGGAAAATGTACAGCTTCAGTAATTTTATGATTTTTTTTTTTAGTATCGTGCACTGTCTTTGGTATCATTCACAACATAGTATGTATACTGCAAAAAGAAGTAGCCAATGGCTTTCTCAATGCATTCACTGGGATTAACATTTTTATCTATCTGCTTATTTTTTTTTTAAATCTCCTTTTTCATATGACAGCCTTATATTCACTACAGATCACAGCCTATGGAAGAAAATACTAATAATAAAAATGATGGTATCTTGATTGTATAAGAGAAAGTAGTAAGACCTAAAGAGAGCAAAAGACATATTTTGAAAAACATAATTTTAAAAAAGCCAACAAAGAAGAAAATATATTCATGTATGCACCTGTCAGAAAATTAACTAAGTTAAGGCTTTGTTCTCCAGCCTGCCATAGTGCACATTTGGAGGCCGATGGTCTGATATATGAGTCTTTATCTGAGTAGTAGCAGTTCTAGGCTGTTTACATCATGGCACAGAGTTGTGTAGTTTTCTTTCTGGTATTGTAGTAGAAAACCATTTTTGTAATCTAGAGTAGCCAGAAAAGTTAGGTTGAAGATTTTTTCTTGAAGATGATCCTTAATGATGAGTGGGGATGTTCTGATTTAAAAAAAAAAGGTGAATGTGAGGAGCTATTGGTGAACAGTGATTTGAGATGCTGCTACAAATACAGGATTCACAGCTGCCAGTTTTGAGTGCCACTTCCAGCTGCAGCGAAGGAAGAGTCTCTTGAGTATTGTGAGCTTGCATTTACACTGGTGAATTATCCACAGGTGTCTAGAGTTCCTTCTACAGAACGATGCCAACCCATCCATCCAGGATAAAGAGGGGTACAACACTGTGCATTACGCTGCTGCATATGGGCACCGGCAGTGCTTGGAACTGGTGAGTGCTCAGTTGCAGAAGTCTCTGTCTGCTGTTATATTTGTGCATATGCTGATATTGTGAACTCCCCTGATGGCTACTATTGAGTTGTTTGGATATTCAGAAATCTGTGAAAACCTGCAATATGGTGCAGTAAACTCAAATATATGCACCCAGATGTATCTTAAAAACAAGTTCATCTTGATTATCCAGTACTTATTCAACAAGCTGGTACTTAAATGTTGTCTTTGAGTGGAGTTTTTGTGTGCACAAATTAGTTTTAACTGTGATCAAAATACTCCCAGTCTATGTGTATGCACCAGTAGTAAGGGACAGTTCCTGGTACATGACAGAGAATGTGCCTTATTTAGCTGACACTTTATCTGACCTGCAAACTGAGAGAGTAAATAGTTTTTGTCAGCTGCATACCTGCAGTTTCTTTTTTGCCTCTGGTGAAACAATAGCAGCATTGATAAAATTACCAGAATCAAGATTAACCTTGTATGCAATGTAACCGGTTTTTTTCTTTTGTTGTTTTTTTACTATTTTCTGCCTGAGTGATTAGAAATTGCATCTTAGAAAAAGCCAAAAATTTTTAGCCAAACATTGGATTTAGGAGATGTGTGGTGTGGATTTACAGATGTTTGTGACTTGTAAAAGTAAGTGTCATGAAGATGGGTGTTAACTGCTTGATATCCAGGGTGATCACATATAAATAGATTTTAATTGCTTTAAAAAATAATAAAACCCAATTAAAAAATTGTGTAGATATTCACGCTTTGTAAGAACACTGTGTGCTGTTTAGTGTTATATGTTGTTTGGTTCTTTCTATGTTGAACAGTCAAAGTATTTAATTATTGAGGAGGAGCTCTGCACAGCACATGCTGCTTTCACACCACATGTGCCACCACAGGAAAAATGCTGCAGCTGGCCTGTGGCAGGATCCCAGCAGCTTGGACACCTTGGGCAGTAATTATGCCAGGGCAAGACTGGGTCAGAATTTCAGGTGGGATGTTAAGACTTTTTAACTCCCATCTGCAAGCATGTATATTTAGGACACTTAAAATATCACTGCTCCTTTGTTGCTTGTGGCACTGAATTTGGCCTTGCCTTGTTTAGAGCCTTCTCCTAGAGCTGATCTCTGGTGACTCTGCCTGTGAGGAAGGAGGGGTTCTCTGCTGAGCCTGACCTCCATTTGGAACAAAACCAAATGTTCTTGGCATATATAGAGAGGGGAGTGCTCTGTGCTGTGTACAAGCCCACACATGTATAGCCACAGCAATGTGTAATGCAATCTTACCCATGTCTCATCACCAGATTCTTGTATGACTTGCACAGGCAGAGACCTCCATAAAAGCATCTTCACTGGGGGATTCTCTTTCAGCCTCTGTATCATAGTCCCTGGGTGCCATGAGGCATGGATCAGGCATGGAGCAAGGTCTCCTCTCTGTTCTTTTACTTGTTGCTGTGTGTGTTTTCTGGCAACATATGACAGACCTGCTATTGAATCCTTGTTGCTTAGGCTTGGCAGACAAAAGAAAGAGCTGGGAATGCAGTGCATGTCAGAGGTGTTGGGTTTTCTTTTAATTTTGGAGGGTGAAATGCAAACTGTGGGCCAGAGACAGCTGTGCAGCAAGTGTTCTATATTTGGACAGAAAAATTCCATGTTTTTCCATCTGAGTCTTCCTGTATTTGTGACTATAGCTGCAGCATGGAAACCCAAGGTCAAGCGTCATTTACAGAGTTAGTCACACAGCTGTTCTGTGTACAGTGGAAAAGTGCTATGAATTTTAGTCTTTTGGAGGCACAGAACCGATGTTCTGTACTAAGATGTCAACCTGCAAGTTTTGGGGGACCAGGATTTTGACATTGGTATTTAGAGTCTGACAAGCATCTCATTTTCTCTCTGGAATACAAAGGCTAAATGTGTCAGAAAGCATTTCTGCTCATCCAACAGTAGGAGCAGGACCTGTCACCTTTGCACTCACTGTTAGTAGAAGGTGATTCAGCTTTGTTGTAGTGAGCTACCACGTCCCGAGTTTAGTAACTTTATATTTGATAATGCTGACTAACTGACTGATACAGGAACCACCATTACACTGATTTCTTTGCAATGCTAGCATTCAGGATTGAGTAAAAGCAGTCTTGAGTAGCTGAAAGGTAATTGTACTGTGCGCATGAAATGGGAAAGAATCCTTGTGCCTGAGTTTATTCACTTATTCCAACATGAGACTCCCATGTGTTAAGCCAATTGTTTCCTGTGTTACTTCTGATAAAGTAGTGTCATCTGTAGACATTACAATCCCATAATGCAGTCAAACTGGTTTTGATAGAGTTGTGGTTGTTCATGGCTCTTTGAAGTCTGTGTCTAAAAGCTGCAATAAGGATTCATCTGGTGCAGATGGAAAGGAACCTTGCTGTCTTGTGAGGCTGACTGGTCTCTTGGTCACAGTTTGTTGTGCTCTCTGTGGTAGACCTATGACAAGGACTTCATCATGAGCCATGACCTTGATTTCTGGTAGCTGTTAACCAGAGTACAGTGACTGTTCTTGTTACTCATAATTGAATGAAGCACCCAGTAAAGTTTAATTGCTTCTAGGCAAGGCTTTTAGCTAGAGGCCCCTTCTTCTCCACATAGCAGAAAGCACAGTAAGTCATGAAATGCCATCTTAGTCTTCAAGCCTTGTGTTTAGCTTGAAAACCAAACCAACAGAGATGAAGGAAATGATCAACATGCTGTGCCTTGTTTCTCTCTCCTGAGCCACACGAGGCTCTGCTCAGGAATGGTGCAGCTGCCAGTTCCAGCTGCCAGTTCCAGGTAACTTGCACACTGAGATGATGGGTTCGTGTGTAGAGCAGGTGCACAAGGGCAGCTGGTTGTGACTGAGGGGTACTTGGCTGGTTTTATTGCTATATCTTGGAAATAAGTTTTTCTTGTTGTTTTTTTTTTCAGTGCCAGTGAAAAGGAAAATTAGATTCACAATATTTTTAGTTGCTCTTACTCAAGGAGCAGTGGGAGCCCAGCAGCCCTAATTCCAATGTAAATATGTCTGTAGATAGGCAGAGATATTTTTTATTTTGTTTTCACATATGCAGTAATAAGATAAACTGATATCTTTCTTAAAAGCACTAACTTTGAACCATTAATCTGTATCACAGGAACTCCAACATATGGAGTATTCCTTTTAAAATATTTCCAGTCCTTTCTAGCCTGAAGAAGATATTCTCAGTCATGATTATTGAAATAAAACCATTACTTTTCAGTGCCAAATTAACTCTTATTTTACTGTTTTATCCCCTTGGTAAATATTTTTGTTTTATTATCAATAGATTATAAATTAAAATATCTAGGAATTATCTATCCTAGAACAAGACAGTTCCTTATGGGCCCAAAACTTGTTAGAGGAAAGAGTTCATGTGAAATATGGAGCTTTAATTCTGGTCAAAACTAAGCCAAGGTGGATGCAACAATAATCTTGTTTTTCTATAAGTAATGATTACTGGTATTTCTTTACATGCACAATACCAAACTTCAGCAAAACGTTAGGGAATTATGTTGGTGTTCCAGAATATGTCAAGTTCATCAAGGACCTTGTAAGACTAATTTTTATTTCCCCTCTTCCCTCTGCTTTTATAACAGGTATCTAAAAGAGCATATTTGTAAATAAATGTTCACTTTCAAAAGTAAGTCCAAAGAAGAAGATGCAGCATCCAGTGGAGTTTCCCTCACTGGGGGATTTGGTCTGTGCTTTAAGCACCATAGCTTCTCAGTGTTATAAAATATTTATATGTTTCAGTACAGTTTAGAAAAGGTTGGTTTATCTATGAAAATATACTTTCATTTTTTTGACTTTTGTGTTTACTGTGAGCCCAATACCTTGGTTGGAACTTATCTACATTTCTTTGTGTGAAGAGCAAAGGTATTAAGAGATATGAGAAATAAGACTAAAAAGGTCATATCCTTTGACCCAAACAAATAAAATTTGTGCCTGTGCGCTCCCACCACAGAATGCAACAACAGAAGCTTTTTTCCTGGAGGACCTTTAGGTTGTCTGGGATATTAGTGGGGTTGTTGCCTGCAATGAATGATGTGATGTTGCTAAGAAAAGAAGAGTGCAAGTAGATTCTTCAATTCTTTCTCCACTTGTAAGGAGCCATTCATAAAGGCTGAACGGTGGGCATGTGTGCTTGCAAACAACTGACACTCCCATCTGCCTTCCTACTTCTAAAAATAGCCTCAAGTTTGTTTAGATTGGGACTGACTTTGGTGTTCAGTAGTCAGGGATATTGGTCACAATTGCTAACTGGTATTTTAGAGCTGATCACATCACTAAACTACTTTGAAAAAAAGAAAAAGAAAAATATGATGGGATTTTTTTCATTGAAATGATCTCTTATCACAAAATCTTTATTGGTGTGAAAAGAGTGGAATTTAAATTGTAATTTCACATTAAAATTCTGTCTGGAGAGACAGTCAAGCACTTTGTGCCGATAAAAATAGGTTTCTATGCAATGCTAGGGCAGACAGAATTAAATGCCTGTCTCCTGTAGTGAAATCTCTTCTCTGACTGGAAGAATTGATGGTTATTTTTTCTTTTAATCTGCTCTTCTTCTTATTCTATTAGTAAATGAAATTCATTCTTTGACTAACAGAGATTGAATCAGCACAGGGGCTAATTCATTTGAGGCTGGGAAGAGAGCAAGGTTTAACCAAAAGCCGTGTCCAAAAGAAAAGCCAAATCTCTGCCTGCCTGGAGCGACGTGATGGCAGAGCTGTGTGTGTCAGGGAGAAGGGGCAGAGGGAGATGGCTGGCAGCAGAAGGCCATTTTGGCTGTGCTGTGAAAGCAGATGCTGGGTAACAACTTTTATTAGACCAGCCCTTGCCACTCCAAGGTAGTTAAGCCATGCCTTCAAACACTTGGTTCCTTAACCTGTGGAGAAATTGAAATTACAGACCACATAACTCTTCGATGTGGCTGCTGCTCATTATCTATGTCTTGTATCAGCAAGAATTTGTTCATTCATCCATCTGAGAGCAGGATGCTGGTAATTAGTGATGAGGGAATCACAAGCATGGTTGGGATAGGTGTTAAAAAGCCTTTGCCACATGGGGATCTGGCTCCGGTGCTTGTCCAGTGGCAACCTGTAGGCCTCCTCCCTGACCCAGATCTCTTTATTCAGGGGATACATCCTGGGTTTTCTCCTTCATAAATGCCTATCTCCAGAACCAACACCCTCCTTCTTAAACGGAATATTTTGTCTGAATCAGAGGCAATAATGTTTTGTGTGGTGAATTACTTTGCACTTCTCAGCTAAAAAAGGAGCTTCCATGTTGGAAAAGCTCTCATAGACATAGGTACAAAGTCATTAACTGAAATGTTTCTAAAAGAGAAGAACTTAGGAACTTAATGCTCAAAAATAACTTTATTAAACCTAATTTGTCTCTCAGTTCTAGAATCCCTCAAATCATGGTAGACTGATTTAATTACTTGATGTCAGCATTTGTGCAATTTGTACCCCCGGTTAAATGATCAATAGGAGCCTATATATGCTGGATACACCGATATATTTTAGCTTATCAGAGTACAACCTGTCTTAAATTTTATGTTTTGGAAAGTAGACAATTTTGATTCTAAAAATGTTTCCTAGAAAGCTAATGCTGCTTATGATCTGAGTGAGTGCAGCCATTTACCATTTGCACTGGCACCCTGCTGGCATTTTGGTTTGTAGGATAGAGTATTGCCTAGCATCTCTGAGGTTTTTTCTGTCTCTCTGACAGATCTTGTCTTTTTTTAGTCTATATTTTTATTTTCCCGGGGTGGAGAAGCAAGGCACTTACATCTGCTGTCTTCTGACAGAGAACAACAAGGCCATTGCAGAATTGCAGGAGACATTTTTCCTTCAGTTTGGAAAGAGGTCATGGACTTCTGCTGTTGCCTTAAATACCTGTCTGTGTCTCTGTGTGTGTGGTGTTTAAATGTAAATGTGAGAAGAATATCTGACTCACTCAAATCTACTGAATCCAATGAAAAGGACATTTGATCATGGCATATTGCACTGCATGAGAGTGCATAGCTCAGAAAGAGCTGCAGTCACTGGGATTTTAGGGGTGTAATCAGGCTTATTTATTGAAGGCAAGATGTTTGTCTGCATGAGCAGACTTCCAAACAGAACTTATCACTGGTTTATTTGTATTTGTAGGTTTACAAAGCGATCTAACTTCATTAAGCAAAGTTTCCCACAGTATAAATTTTGTACCTGTAGGTCTGTTTGATCTTAAACATTATCATTATTTTCCTCTTTTCCCTCCTTCCTTAGGAAGTATTGTAACTGCTGTTTATCCACAGTGGCTGTAGTCTTGTTGCTTCAGGAGTATTTCCACAGTGGGTGGGCAGTGTAGACATGGGGCACACAGGATCAGGTCTTGATTCTGTTCGTGCACTGCTTGCAATGCAGTTTTTGTACAGAAAAAATAAAACAAAAAACCAAGAAACACTTGCAGATTACCATTATACTTGAATACTTCTGTCTTTAATTATTCTAATTGACATTTTTAATTAGATTGGAAGCAAAACTCCATTGGATATAGTGAGTAAATGAAAAACGATTGCATGTTGTGTATTTTCTTTGTATTTTGCAAATCCTTGTATTCACTCTGATAAAGGCTGAGGAAGAAGAATCACAACTCTAGCATGCCATGTACTTCAAGAAATTGCATGTGTGCTGCTTTTGCTTCCATTGGATTTCCTTCTTCCTGTTGCTTACAGGCTCAAGCTTTGCTCAAGTCTGTTGCTTCTCCTCAGTCAGTCTTAGGAGTTGTGAGTCCAGTGCACGTATCTGACTGGCATGACACTTTCCTGGATGTTAAAGTAACTTTGCATTTGGTAATGTGAAATGGAACCAACCCTTGTCTGTTTTCTGAAAGTTTGTGGCCAATTTCAAAGTGGTTCAGAGAAGAAATGTAAATGACACAGCTTCAAGTAAGCCTGAATTTAAAAAGCACTTGTGTGTTTTACAGAGCATAGGCTCAAATGAGAGGAGAGTAGCAAAAATAACACTGAAATGCACATTTTAAAAATTGACTGTCACTATTTCACCAGCACTCAAATTTTCTGTCCAAAAAGGAAATTTTTAAGGATAATTATTTCTCTAAAGATAAGCCTTCCTATACCTTTTGCACAACTCCATGAAATTTGCAAAAGCTTTACTGGCTAAAAGGGTCCTTAAAGCAAAGTCTGAGGCTCTAAAGAACCTCTGAGTTAGAATTTCTGGCCAGAAAGAAACATGATATATATGACTTGAGTGTGAAAGTCCCAGGTTCAAATCTCTGCTCTGACTGACAAAGAAATTGGATTTCTATATCCCCAGAAGAGACCAACATATTGTGCTGGTTGGTACTGGGAGGGATCTCACTCTCATTTGGAACTGTCCTCCATGTATAAATACTGGGTGAGAATCTCCTCTGTATGACCCACCAAGTATGGCTTAATATGAAATGGGTTTTATGGAGTGGAAATGCTCCAGCAGAAGATCTATGCCCCTGGTGAGAACAGCCAGTGGCCTGGAGGTTTGCTCAAGTTTTCAGATTTAGATATGTTTAGAGACTTGAACATTGTTCTCTTATATGCCAGGTAAGTGTCCTGTTTGCATGGTGGTGACTGTTCTGGTGGGGCATTGGTTATTCAAACTTTGTACTGGAAGAGTTGCATGGAACTACTTGATGAATGTCTTCAGGCTCAGTCTACCTAAGCTCTTGTGAAACTACTTCTTGCCTACATTATTTTAACTTCACCCATAATCTATGCACGTGAGGGAAATTGATGTAAATATTGGTTAATCTGATTTTTAAAGCCTGATCTTAGAAAAATGCCAGCCGCTGGGTTAAGGATGCACATTGACTTTAACCTGATCAAATTAAAATAATTTGAGCATTTGTATTTACGAACATGGAGAGAGCTTACAGGATTGCTTTTTTCCCTGAGGATATGTTTGTGCCACTTTACCTGTTGAATTATTCAATCAGGAATAATTCTGAGATTTAAAAATGCACTTCCCTGTTATAAAGTCGTACAGAGGTTAATTCTTTTACTCTTTTCTATATAATCAGAAACAACTGATGAGAGTTTTCAATCATGTGCTTGCTACTTGCTGGAAAAGCCTTTATTTAAAAGAAGCTGCTATTGGTATGTTTTCTCCCAGTAGAGACAATTATCTATTGCAGTTTATCAGGAAAGATGAGATGCACAGTGACATCTAGCTGATATATTTTTATTCAGTTCTGAAAGTGACATTAAAAATCATTACTAGTTCCACTTACGAATGACCCTGTCAGTGATAAGCTGCATTGCTATGTAATTATTGCAGAAGAGCAGTGTTCAACTTAAAATTTTGTCTCAAATGCCTTTTGATCAGCTCTTTGTGTGTGAAAATTTCTGAATGCTGTTTGATTAATAACCTTTCAGAGTAAAGCTATTTATAGAATACACACATTTAATCTAATGTTTTGCCATTTTACAATTGGCATTAAGAGTACTGAGAGTCTGTGTGTTGGAATGTTGAAGTTGCCTTACTAGAATAGCAAAACTCTCAAAGAAAAGTCACTTTAACTTCAGTGCTAGATAGCTCAAACCTTTGACATAACTATCAGGAGTGCATTTAAATAGCTGTGTCTGGAGGTGCCTGTGTGTGATGGCTCGGATGGGATCACACATTCTCTTCTCTTTTATGGTTTGAGATAGCACCCATCCTGTCCCACAGCACCACAGTGTCTATGGTTTGAAGTTTCTTTTGACTCTTCCTTTTAAAAGTGTAGCTTAAACCTTTTATGCATGATGAAAGTACTAGATTCTGTTCTGCCTTAACAGTAATTTTAAATTACTCAGATGCTTCAGTGAGCTTCTTTTTTTTTTTTTTTTTAAACCAGAACTGAATTTTAGAATATATTATAGTCTAGAAGGACAGTCATATGAAGTACCCAGACTCATTAAGTGGCATATCTGAACCCCCCAAACAATGAAGGGGGAGACCCAGACCATATCATATATGCCATATAGTAATTTCTTATAACCACAGAATAAAATCAAGCAGCAAATCCTCTTATGCCTGTAAATATTTCCTTACTGCACAAATAGAATGGTGAGAACTGTAGAAGTTAATAATCTTCATACTGAACCGGGGGAGAGAAGATAGTTTAGAATAGTATCCTTGTAGTGCTGTTAGTTTGTAAGAATAGAACTGAATAATTGATGTGTTTTATCTTACTTTGTCTGTGTCTCCCTCCCAAAGCATTCACATTCCTCTTTCTGAGTCTGAAGAAGACTTCACAGAATGATTACATACAGTATTAAATAGTGCTGTTATGGGAAGGAAAGGGGTCATGCTGGAAATTTCCAAGAGGCAGAAAGAGAGTAAGGGTAGCCTTGCCTTTTAAGAGGTTCTAACCTAACCACAGAGAAGAGTGCCCATCAATCTCACTTGCAGTGTCTTTGCACAATTCTGACACGGGCTTCAAATCTGTGGCACTCAATATATAGAAACGTGATCAGCTAAAAGACATCCTTTCAAAGTCACAAAACCAAGAAATGTGATATGCTGGGACATTCTCCAGCCAGCCACGAGTAACCACAAACTATTAGTAATTCATGCTTATTTGTCTGTCTTCAGTGAAATGCCTTGGCCAGCTTTGCCAAGACAGGTGTGGATGGCAGCAGACACCTTGGGATTGCTCTGCAGGATCTGGATTTAAGCTTCCATGGCTGCCAGGGCAAATGATTTTGAGTGGTAAATTCGCCTTCTTAAAAACTGATGCAATTATGGATAGCTTCTTCTAAGTATAATGGAACTAGAATCACTCAAAGACACACTGTTTCATATATATAACAAGGAGATGTAATTTACTATAAATGCATCCACAGAACCCTAGAGACACTGGTGCAACTGGAGAATTTCTTGGACCTGGCACTTTTCGTTTCTTTGTGCATGATGTTTATCCTTCAGGTGACTTAGTGTTAACTGTTAGAAAGGGGTACTTGACAGGAAAATCCAACAAAATTATTAATGCTGTTCTCTTTAATCTTTCTCTTCTTGTTCTTTATAATTTCTCTTCTTGCACTGTATGTCCCTGTTTCTGAGAGCTACCAGTTCTGCCTTCAAATTCTTATTTACGCTTGACTTTATGATGGAGACATTCAGCCTTATGACTAATAAGCTCATTAAGCCTAGTCTGCATCAGCCTAAACTGCTTTGACTTCAAGCCATGGAGATGCCTTTTGTGAGGGGCTCTTCAATCCCACAAATTGTGCCTTTAGAGCCTTAATTTTGTCAATTTTCTGTGTGGTTTCTTTCATTTACTTGAGAGGCAATTATCTGCCTTGTTCCAGGAGACTTTTGGAGCCTTCTGACAGGTGAAAGGAAGTATTTCTTTGTTACAGTTTTGATCCTGGAATTTCAACAGATGATGATAAATGTAATTAAAAGTGATTCAATTAGCCTGCTGTGCTGGCCTCATGGACTCAGAGTAAAGGCCAGTATTAGGTAGGCAGAGGAACAGGCTTAGTGCTTGGGTTTGTTTGGTGGGATTTTTTTTTTTTTAGATTGTTTACTCAGTAGGGAAAATCAGATGTATTCATGTATTCAGAGCTGGCTACTGCTTCATCCTGTTTACAGCTCTCTTATATAAGTGAAGAAGAGTATTTTAGCTGGAGGTGGTTCCACATGGTAACACCAAATGTGTTTCTTAACTGTCCCAAACCTACCAAGAAACTGGTGGGGGACTTGAATTTTTTTTTTTTTCCCCCTGCCCTTAGGTGTAGGGAAGTGTTAAAATTTGTATTACCTGTTAATACACACACCCACTTGCTTATGAGTGGTATTTTTATCAACACACACTTCTTTCCCAGTCTTGACATATTACTAGGCACAAAATATGCAAATAAATGAAATTACTACTTAATTTTCTAGCTTTTCCATAGGGTTCAGATTACTGCATTTGCTTGATAAGAGATTTGTGACACCTCATGCATTATTAATGCTGACTTTTATTCCAGTTAGATTTTTGGATAAATTTATCATTGATGTAGGTCTATTAAAGACTAACTTGTTACATCAAAAGTTCAGGTCTACATCAGAATTTAGGACACGCCATCATCTTGCAGCACAGGCAAGCCATCCCTAGGCTTTCACTGGTCTCTCTGGAGAGTTTTTCATGTTGTCATAGCCTAAAATTGCCCAGATTGTCACAAAAAATTCCTTTCCTTTTTTTCATTCTTTTCAGAAATTTACTCTGTAAAAAAATAATAATCCAAAACAAATGAAAAGAGAACTCAAAAAAGGCTGTGAAAAGTTGAGTTGTAGCCTTAGAAATGTTACAAGTCAGTTGTAGTTGCCTGTCATGCTTTTCTTTCTGTTTTAGTCTCCCATTACTGATTTTCTGTGAAATGCTAATTTCCAGCCCCAAAGGCATTTGGAGACTAACACTTCGAGTAGTTATTAAGCAAAGGACCATGCACATGAGCAGTGCTACTCACAAATATTGAATTGTCAATGTTGTTGTCAACACCATGTATGATTTTGGAAGACTGTCATTATAGGAGCAGATTCTTCTTTGATAAATTATAAAATTGACTGAATGATTCACGGCTCAGTTATAATTATTCCCAGTGCTAATTATGTGTCAGAATTATCCAAAACACTGTACCAGACATGGCTTGCATATGCTGTGTAATCATGAAACTGTGCTTTCTCCAGTGTAAACTTAGTGAGGGCTTTACTCCACAAATCCTTTCTTTTGAGGGCTCCTTTCTCACCCAAGCAAGTCCTAGGATTTCATGGAGACAAATTAATCAGGGTAAGGATGTTCATGACAAGCTTTTAAACTAGTCTTATAGCTTTACCCTGTGCAGAAAAGCTTGAGGACACTTTACAATTCTTCAATACTCACTGAGGCTAAAATATATTTTTGCTGATTTACAGATTTATAATCCATGAAAATTTATCCTGTCTCATGTAAAAATGTTTTAAGACTGCCTTTTTTTTTATTTCCTTCTTCCAGCTTCTGGAAAAAACCAACAATATATTTGAAGAATCTGATTCTGCAGCTACCAAAAGTCCTTTGCATTTAGCTGTAAGTATGAGATGTGTAAAGTGTTTGATCAGTATCTCCTAGAATAATTCCTTAATCTCTGTCTTTGAAGCAAGTTTAACCATAGACTTGTTTTGAAAAAGGTGGGAAGGGATGTAGGCCTAGATGTAACAAAAACAGGTTCTGGGCTGGAATTGCTAATTAAGTTTTTGGCAGCTGAAGCTCTCGATTCTTACTGATTCTAACACTTCAGTAAGAAGATGACACAGGCACTGAAGTGAAATTAAATGGAAATTCACAACTTTTATTTAGACCTAGTTTATAAATATGGGACCAGAGCTTAAACTTTGATCATGGAATGGGATACTCTGATGTTCTTGTGGAGATGTGCAGTGCAAAAAACTGTCTGGTACACAACAGGGTGTGGGAAAGCGTGTTTTTAAACTCCTGAAGTGTTCTGTGAGAGTGCTATGGAAACTGTGATATCGCAACAGAATCTAGCACATGTGGCCTCAGAGATCACAATAGCTTCTCCCTCCCAAGAGCTCAAGAGTCATGATCCCTCTTCCCAATCACAGAATAGTTGAGGTTGACATGGACCTCTGGAGATCAAGTCCCAGCTCTGTGGTAAAAGCAGAATCAGCTAGACCAGATTTTCTCCGGGCCGTGCCCCATCACATTTTGAATATCTCCAGGCATGGAGAGTCCACAGTTTCAGCTCTGATAATAGTAATTACATAATCATGCATAAAAAAAAGGATGTCCTCTGTGAGTCTGACAGTAAGGAGAGGAGGGCAGTCCCTACAAAGTGAATGAAATATTTCCAGTTTCTGGGGCTATCCACTGGGGTTTTGCAGTGCCAGCTGTGTTTGTGTTGTTGGCTCCAGTGCAACTGTAGGTCTGGAAGTGCATGTGCTTGTCACTGTGGTTGTTCTACCAAATGATTCAGCTGGCAGGAATACTCCATGAAGCATCAGCTATAAACAGCAGGTCAAGTTTGTGTTTGCATTTGCACACAAGTCTGGTTTGAGAATTGCCCTCATTTAGTTGGAGACCAGCACATGTGTTGAATTTAGCAACCAGTTAGGTGATAATCCATGCAAACTCTGACCAGTATCACAATCAATTTAGTTTTTGAAGCAAGTGTTTCCCTGACAGATACTGTAGAATGTGAAAAATTAATTGATTGACCTGTGCTGAATGGGCAAATTATTGCCTGAAACTCCTCATCTTGGGTTGTATTAGAAGGTTAGAACAAATCAAGAATCATAATTTCTTTCCCTAAACACTAGGAATTTTTTAGTTTCTTGGCAACAGTGTAATTTGGGAAAATCTTTTCAAGTTGAAGAGGGAGTCAGAAGGAACCAAGAAAACTGTGTGATTTTTATTGTGTTTAGGAGACACTGACAAGGAGGGATTTTATTCACAATTTATATGAAAGGTCTTTGAAGGACAGGAGTTGTGTTCTTTAACATGACACATTTCATACTTCTAGGCCTATAATGGTCATCATCAAGCCCTGGAGGTACTTCTCCAATCTCTGGTAGATCTGGATATTAAGGATGAGAAGGGACGCACTGCTTTGGACTTGGCTGCATTTAAAGGACATGCAGAGTGTGTGGAAGCTCTCATCAGCCAGGGTGCTTCTGTCACTGTAAAAGACAATGTCACCAAAAGGACCCCCCTCCATGCCTCAGGTGAGTGTGATCTTGTTACACTTGTGGTATAAACCCTACCACATGGAAACAGTCACCTTTACCTACCTACTGTCACTGTGCACATTTCTTCTAAAGGGAAGGAGATTTTCACATGTACTGAGGACTGATGCTTGTTTTCTGAGGTCCTACAGTTAAACCATTTATCTTCCATTTCATTGGTCTTTTTTTCTCTGTCCCCGTGGTTCAGTCCTCCCTCACACAGAATCCCATATTTTTCCACACCACTACTGCTCTGCCCTTACTTGCTTGCCTTTTCTTTACCATACCTCTCTATTACCAACTACACTTTAAGATGTGTGGTGATTCCCTTGTGATGCCTTCTCTTAATGGTTCCTCAGTCAAAAAATCAGGGGAAGAGGGAACACTTGCCTCACGGTTGCTCCTTTGGAAGAAAGGTTGAAAAATACATGTAGGCTCTGATTGGTGATGAAATTATCCTGGTGTTCAAAACTTGCAGCCTTTTGCAGTGGCAACACTATGGAAATTCACCACCTCCTCTCAGACCTCCTCCTACTCCTGAGCTTGGGAACTTGCACTTGCTGGGAGCCCGCTCCACTCCTCATGTGTGGGCTGTTAATTATGTAACACGCATAATTAACTGGGAAATGTAGACTTTATCATTTATTTGAAGGTTGTTATTGGATATGTACCTGTCAGGTAAATATCTGGAGGTGCCAAAGGGAAGGTGTCTCCTCTGCTGTTCCTGGAGGAGCTCCGTACAGGGTAGCAGTGGCCTCTAGTGGGAAGGAAAATTAATACCACATGGATAATTAATTCAGGACCAGACTTAATTGTCTTTCTGTTTATCTTTTAATCTTGCTTAGATTAAAATGCATACATATCCTCTAGTACCAGTTTATTCTCTGTGTGTGATCATAAAAACATAAAGTCAAAAGGACTATTATCAATGTTGTCTGCAGCACTGAAGGAAATGCTTGTGATAGATCTCACTGCATACTAAAAATGCTTTCTGACTTCTTCAGTTTTGCATCAGAACTGAACACATTTCTCCTCATGATAAATACTGATGATTTAATTAATTTAAATTAATATTAGTGCTACCACAAGACTGAGCTGTGTTGTTCAAGAGCTTTTCTGTAGTTACTTCAAACATATCTTTTTCTGTTACATCATCACTATAGCAATGATTTGCATTTATTTAAAAATGTGGTTATAGTGACATAAGTTTCTAGTTGTCACAGCTGAACTGTAAGGGCTCTTCAGTACTGAGAAAACTAAATGGTAACAAAACCATATTTTTGTTAGCAGCTCTGACTTGCAATATGAATTTTTTGATTAAATCTGTGAAGTAGAATGGAGTGAATTTGTTGACTGGAAGGTGTTATTTTACTACACACATTTCTTACTTTCATACAAATTCAGACTGTGGGCTTTTCCCCCGATTTTAATATCTTTTTTTAATCACCCCCATCACTGTAGTATTGTAGACTTTTCTGGTCTGTGATACTTTTTGCTTCTCAGATTAAGAAGCATTTCCAGGGATAAAAATAAAATGTTCTTTACATCTGCAGTGAAGCAAAATAAGTTAAATATGTATTAAAAACAAACAACCCCCCCAAATAATGAAGAAAAAAAGGAAAAAAATCCTACACCCAGGAGTGAGACACTAAAGAGTACATGTACCTTAAGCAGAAGAGAAAATACTGCAAAAACAGGTTGAATATTTGAACTCTTAGTAAAGAACATTCGTCATCCTCATGAATTTGGAAGCTTTCAACTGTGAGTTAAGTGCACTTTGGGTAAATATCCATTAAGACAACACTTAGAACCTTCCACTCAAGAGCTATGCAGAGCTCTGTGGAAATTAGCTCTGGAGTAAAGCTTCTACCCACAACTGCTATAAACAGCCCCTTGCAACGTGATGATTTTCATGGTGCCGTTTCATAACGATACACTTTGGTGAGGAGTGTTTTAGCAAAAACTGGTGCCACCTGTCGGGAACTCGGCCTGGAGCTGCTGCAGCATTCAGAATGTTGTATTTGCAGTGCAAGTGTAGGAGGTCATGGCATATTTTCAGAAATCGAACAGAATTCTTGCTGAATTAATCCCTCGAGTGACAGTGCACATTTGCACACACACAAAGGGCACTACTTGCACATGCAATACTGTGCACTGGAAAGAAACAAGAAGGCATGTGTGCTCATCCCCTTAAACTTGTCTACCCTCATTCCTTCTAATTACACCAGCACAGTTGCTGAACACAAAGCTGAGGGGATATGAAGTGGTGAACTGGATGATGGGATTCTCCAGAATTCCATTCAGTAAAGGGATTTGTGACTTTAGTAGAGAACTCGCCTAATGAAGTGTTTCTTTTTTCTGTCTGCCCCCTTAGGGAATAGGCTTCCTCTGACCTCATAACATGGAGAATTTCCTTCACCTAAATTATACGTTCCCTGTATAATTTTAATACCCCCAGCCTGTCCTCTGTCTAGCCTGGGGAATCCATTGCAAATGTTCCCCTAGTGTTAGTGTTGTAGCTCTGTTGGCAAAACTAACACTCCCTGCAGGCTCTGCAATGCTTAGCAATTGCTAGGTCAGCACCTAGGAGTTTCTGTGAGTATCTATTCTAAAACTCATTTACCAAAATCCTTTTCAGATGTCTTTGTGAACAAGTTAAGATTTCTCTTCCTGCTGCTGGAAGAAAGAACAGATCTTTTCTTTTTTTTTTCCCCCTAAGCCAGTGACTCATCTGCCCTGCAGAACTGTTTACATGTCACGTATATGGCATTACTTAGTGGTAAATAACTAAAAATGTCTTTTAATTTTATGGGTAGAGCAACTAAGACCATTTTTGGATGAATAATTTAAATGTGATGATGTGTGCCCATTTCTCTGCCAGAGTGATGTGACATAGGTGGTGTCCAAGGGTTTTGCCTCAGCCCACGGGGTGTGGGCAGTGTGAATGCATGACTTGGTGTAATAAGAACACCACATATATCTACTGAGCACAGCAATTGTTTTTCAAAGAAGAAAATACTTGTCTCTTCATTCCATGAAAGGCTGAAGCCTTTAAGCCAACTGACACACAGATGGGGTTCAGTGTCAAGCCCTGCAAAATTAGTAACTCAGAGCTGTTTTCCAGCAGCAATGGGTTACATTAAAAAAAAAAACAACAACAAAAAAAGTCAACCAAAATAAACTCCATCACCAAAAAACAAAACAAAAATAAAACTCCAAACGTTTTTGTTAAGTATTATTTTTGATAAAATGGAAAAACTCAAAGGGAATTTTAGTCTCTGGTGTTATGTGCTTTCATGAATATGACATTTGTATAGTTGGTCATTCTTTGCAGATGTTTATTCTTTTCATAGCATGAAGTACTTGCTTGTACAGTGCACATAAAATTAAGGAACCTTGCTGACATACTTCCTACTGTGTTCCAAACCTTGTGTGCCTGCTCAGTCTGGGGGATTTTGAAATACTGTCTGGTTTAGTATAAATCTTCTCAGTAGTGAAAATCATGATTTCTGTTTTACTCATTTGGGATTTTTGTATCTTAAGAGAACTAATCCTCCTCTTACTGAGGTCAGGGAAAAAACAGCTCACCATTTCACTGGCACAAGTGAAATGAATTTAAATGAAAATTGGGAGAATACCAATCTCTTATACTGTGGACATTTCTGTAAGGAAATTTCTTATCCATAAGCATTCCAGTGGAGAAGTATCTGAAATTAAACATACTTGTTTTTCTTTACAGTCATTAATGGCCATACACCTTGTCTACGGTTGTTGCTAGAAGTTGCAGACAACCCTGATGTGACAGATGCCAAAGGACAGTAAGTTTTCTTTTTTTTAGCTCTGCAATTCAAATAGCATCTCATATTTCTCACCAAAAAAAGTAATTATTTGAAATACTGTATTTCCTGCACTTCTCCTCATAGAATTTGGCAGAGATTACAAAGTACATATTCAGTTGATCTAAGCCATGTGGAAAGGACTAATCATTAATCTTAGCCTCTGCTTCATAGTTTAAGCATTCTTTTATAGATGTTGAGGGCCAGATTCAATAAAAACTAACAAGCTCCTGAGATGTTTCTGTAGAGTCTTTTTCTTTCTAAAATGTTGCTGTTTCAGGGTTTGCATGCTATGTTAGGCTGGTGCAGTAGAACACAGTGTTTATTTGAGGTGACACATGCATCGGAGATGTTCCTACAAAAACTTTACAGCTTGTTAAATGACAGTTGCAAAGAGACAATAAAGTGTATTTTTAAAGTGAAAGTGTGAATGGTTTAAAAAATTCATCTGGGGTGTATGGAACATCTTATGCTGTACATATAATGTCTGCACATATAATTTTAAATGGTATTAGTCTTGCCTAAAAATAGAAGGAAAATAAGTCTCTTTCAGTAAAAAATGGAAGATATGTTAGTCCAAAGTTTGACTTGAATAGTTTCCTCGTGCCCCTTCATCCCCTTTAAGCAATTGTGCAGTTTTGCAAAAGAAATGCTTTGGGTCACTGTCATCTTGGTAACTAGCAGGGACATTCATTCACAAAACTTGGGTGTTGTGAAACTCATGTGTCACCAGAGATGACAATAATTGTGGGTTATTAAGAGAACAGATTGCCTTGAATGATGTTGCTCTGTAAACTGCTTAAAAATGGGTTTGTTTCTATTTCAGTCGTGGCAGTTGATTGTTAAACATCTTAATAATTTCATACAAAAGATCTTCACTTGGGTGCCATATGGATAAACATGGTAAAAAAAAAAGGTTTATGGGTAGGAATGGAGAGAAATGTAGGGCTTCCTGATTTCTCTCTCTGTGTAAGTAAGTAGGGGCATTTATAGTATGACATAGTATGTCATTTTATAGCTGTGACTGGTTTGGGTTTTTTTTTCCTAGAACTCCACTAATGCTTGCAGTGGCTTATGGGCACGTTGATGCTGTTTCTTTATTACTTGAAAAAGAAGCATCTGTAGATGCAGCTGATCTCCTGGGATGCACAGCTTTACATCGAGGGGTGACTTAATTTTTATGATTCTTAATTATTTGTTTTATGGTGACTACAACTCACTCATAAATATAGGGATATTTAAATATGGAGAACACTGTAAATGACTGAAAATGTGACCAAGTATAATCAATGATGTAAAAAGTAGGACAGATCTGCTCTCAGTAGTGCTCTGCTTTTGACTTTATTTCACATTTACTTTAATTAATTAGGTGAAATAGTGATTAGACCACTTTTTCTTGGCTCTAGACACTTTATCATAACAGTCATTACTCTTATAACTGAGTACGTAAGAATTCTGAAAATAATTTCTTTAAAAGAACTGGCCAGCTGTTACTTTCATTTTTCTTGGAATGGTGTAAGTAGGTAAGCCTTAAGTTTTCTAGAAGTGGTGAAACTTGAGGCAGATCTAATCTTTTCTAGTCTAGCTAGACTAAGATAGATTTCCCTGGGTAAGTCTAGCTTCTTGTCCAATGTGAAGCTGATACAAGAGATGATATTTATATAGAATTTTATGATTATTGCAGTGAGCAGTTCAGCAAGTGAGCTTTTATCTCTGCCTGCTGAGTCCCATCCAGACCATTTCATGTTCACAGGCATCAATCATATTTCATATTTCCTGGGCAAGAATCTGTATTATGTCAACCTCTTCACTCACTTCTTTGTTATCAGATTATGACTGGGCACGAAGAATGTGTTCAGATGCTGTTAGAGAAAGAAGTCTCTATTCTGTGTAAAGATGCCAGAGGCAGAACACCCCTGCACTTTGCAGCAGCTCGGGGTCACGCCACTTGGCTGAACGAGTTGCTGCAGATCGCACTGGCTGAGGAAGACTGCAGTCTGAAAGATAATCAAGGTTACACACCACTGCACTGGGCTTGTTACAATGGTAAGCTTCTCCCTGTGGACTACTGCCAAGTTCAAATGTGGCCTTAGTTTTAGGGGAACATGTTAACAAAGCAGCTTAAGCCTTTCAGGAGCTTGACTTGAAGAGGCAAGTTATCTCCCAGAGCTCTACGTGCTCTCTGTAGGTAGCATTTGCTGTGTGCACCCTTCAGTTCAGAAGGCAGGGAAATTCCAGTGATACCTCCCAGTGACTTTGCAACTCATTTGTTCCAAGTCACAAGAAGCCAGGGTGAAATTCTGGTGTTACTTGTGTCAATGATGTTGATTTCTGTGGGACCAGGAATGCTCCTTTGAGGTGTCACCTCCTTATTTATTGATGCAAGTGGCCATGTGAATAGGTGGATATTCTGAACTGAACTGGTTATTCTAAACAGGATAATCTGAACTTGTTGCTTAATATAAGAATAAAGATTCTCAGAACTGTCATTTGGATCATTCGCCATACATCTTTGGAGATGTAAGGCAACATACATTAAAAAGAGACTCTTTCTTTCCTCTTTTTTTCCATAAGTGCTAATATTGACCTGGATCTATCTTGCTGCTGCCATAAAACAAAAAAAAAATCCCCTGTTTTGTTGCATAACAGCTTATTTACACATTGTATCCAACTTTGAACTTAAAGTGTTAAATTCTAACCTGTATAAACCTAATATGAATTAAGTGAATTACCTGCTTTGTGCAACACTGTGAAATATCTGATCTCTTATAGGTCATGAAAACTGCATAGAGGTACTATTGGAACAAAAACTTTTCCACAAATTCTATGGTAATAGCTTCTCTCCATTGCACTGTGCTGTGTAAGTAGAAATCTCCAGTAACAAATGCAGATGTCGCTTTAGGATATGTCTGCAAAAAGTAGCAGTATGAGAAGAAAGTTAGCTTTTTTGAGATTATTTGCATGAGCAAATAATTTTAAAGCTGACCATAACATTGTCCTTATACTTCTACTTAAAAAGTGATAGAATAAAGACTATATTTTTTGCATAACCCTCAGCTTTTTGGTAAAATGCTGACTTGTAATTACATTAGCTGTATTTCTGTTCCTTTAGAGTTTCTACTCCTTTGCTTACAATTACAGACTTATGCCATTTCTTCACATAGGGTGGAACTTAATAGCTCTTCCACTCTGAGGCCATGGCCTGGGCTATAGTGCCTCGGTCTGTGTAAATATAACCTTTGGAGGTTCCTTTGAAAAATGCAGTGGCTCAAATAAATTTGTCAGAATCAAGGTGATTCTATTTTAGCACAGGAACAAAACCTTAATGAAGGACAACCTTTAAAATGACAATCTGTGTCATGCTAGAATGGTGTTCTGTGCAGGCCATATGTTTTGCAACACATCCTCAGAGGAGTGATTTCCAGTCTGACTTTCTTCATGGTCTTTTTCACTTCTGAGATAATCTCATGTCTTGAGGGTTTGGGACTTGACTTCTTATCCAGGTCCTCACCAAAGGGATCCATCAGCTTTACAGGCAGACTCTGTATTCAAAGCTCTCAAATTACTTACAAACAACAACAAAGTGTTGGCTATTATGAGTTATGCATGTACTTAAGACACATCCTATTTACAGAAAGCAGTATGTTTTCATGCAGAAAGGATGCTAATAGAGCAAAACATTATTGCAAATGCATTTTACAAAAAAATGCAAGATTAGTATATAGGATGTAACATGCTTATTAAAACGTGTAAGCCATCAAAGAGTAAGGAATTAAGTGCTCTAAAGACAAACGCAAACATTCCCAAATCCTGCCAATAATTAGAATAACTGTATTCTATTCTCTGTTCTCTTAGAAGAATGAACGTCTTTCAGAAGTAATGACAGAAGTTACTACTGAGTAGGCTTTCCTTCACATCATTAGGAAGTAGAAAAGTAACTTGTCATGTATCAAACTTTGAGATTATAAAAAGTCAATGTATTAGAGAAATAAAAGCATATTGGAAGCACTGTTTTTACTCCACTTAAAATAAAATCCTTTGTGGCTGAAACATAGTATTTTAAATCAGAATTTCTAGTGATGGCTTTGAAAAAAATTTTCAATGTTTTTTTTAAAAGAATATGCAGTTCTCAAAACTATTAACATGTGTGCAGCTTAAATATATATGTAAATTTAAAATGAAAACAGCTGCTAATGCAATGTGGAAGTGTGTTAGCTATATTGTGTGTCCAGTACTGTTACTGTTCATTTTCATAATGAAATGACACAATTTAGCAATAATCAGAAAAAGTATTAATTGAATACATCCATCATTCAAAGTACTAAATGTGTGAGTTGGAAGAGATGTCGGCTTCAGTACCTTAAACATTAGAATAAGTCTTTCTATATGTAAGTATCTGTGATTGAGTGCTTTCCAGATCCAGGTGTGTTGGACATACAGACTAAGGATTTTAAGATATTAAGGTTTTAGTACTCGGTTTGGGCTGGGCTTTGAAATTACCTTTATGCATAGTGAATTAAGGATCAGCTTTGCTTTAGAGACTGAAATCCATAGTAGCAGATGCAGTCTGGTTAAATGGAAGGATGATGAATATGCAGAAATGTGACTGAAAGCATTAAGACAAAGGCATTTTAGGGTAACTTGGAAATAACCAGTAAAAAATATTAATGGGAAGTGAAGTAAATTAATATTGCAAAGTGGAAAAATATGAAGACTTATTACCTTTTTGAAAATGTATTTTCTCTGGCAGAATCAATGATCATGAAAACTGTGCATCACTACTCATTGGAGCCATTGATGCCAGCATTGTTAATTGTGAAGATGACAAAGGAAGGTAATAGTTTCTTTAAGAAATCGCATTTCGTGAATCCATTCAGTATTTTTCATAGTTCTTTCTGAACCCCTGGAACTAATCCTTATCTGTTATGGTTGAGCTAAGACATGTCATGCTGACTCTTTCAGACAGCAGTTTGCACTGCAGCACAGTTAAATGGTGGCTCACTTGAAGTAAGAATGTGATGAAGTATTCAGTGTCATAGCACACATGAAAAGAAACAAAAAAAAATAGCATTTTGTTTGTTTAGAACAGCTATGACTATAGGCTGTTTCCCTGAACCTGTTTTGTTTGTTAAATGTTTAAACACATTTCTCTTTGCTAAATGAAGTGATACTATTTACATATAGAAAAGTATTTCATTAAAAGTTTTCATGTTGTGTTTGCATTCTTAGTGCACACAACTGAAAAATGTCTATGCAGCAAAATAATACTGACACAGCAAAAGATATGCATTCAGCCAAATCTTTCACTTGTCACATTGATAATCTCCTCATTGTATATATATTTAAATAAAACATCTGAAATTCTAAAAACTGAATACTCATTGTTTTTGTTGATTAAAACAAATTTAATACCCTCAGTAATGGTGATTACTTAATCGTGTAAGGGTAAGACCATCTCACCTTTACTGATAAGCAAAACTGAAGTAACAGTAAGCTGGGTTGTGTACCAACTGTCTTTTCAATTCTAGTAGTCACACTTCAGATTCAAAATGTCTGCAAACGATTTCTGGTGTCTCAGTGTTGTAGAAACTGATAGCCTTCAAAGTGGATTGTATTCCTTCTGCCTTTTAGAGTAGTGCTGTTCCTGCAGTATCTTTGGATATAACTTAAAATATTCTAGTTTTTTTAAGTAATGGATCTGTTCTTTTCTGATAGTTCTTCCCATCTGAGGCTTATTAAAAAAAAAAATCACAGGAATAAGAATGAGGGATTGTACTGCTTTTCATGTTAGGCAGTATGTTCTGTTAAAACAAATACGCTGCTAATATGAGATTCTTCACAGTGTCTTATCTCTAAACTGTTATATCCACCTTCCTACTTCCCAGGACAGAGACTGTAAATATTATTTAACTTACTTAAGATGCTGCTACTATAACTTCCTACTGGTGATAACTTTAAGTTTCGCAGGAAAAAAAAAAAATTGCACTTTGTGGTTTTTGGGAAGGTGGGCACCCGTGACTCTTGTGATTCTTTAGCAAAAGCTGTGGCCGTGTTCCTCTCCCCCAGAACGCCCCTTCACGCCGCAGCCTTCGCCGACCACGTGGAGTGCCTCCAGCTCCTCCTGAGCCACAGCGCACAGGTGAACGCTGCGGATCACGCAGGGAAAACGCCGCTCATGATGGCAGCTCAGAACGGCCACGTAGGGGCTGTAGGTAAGGACATCCCCGCCTCTCTTAGTCCTGAAGGGAGAGTGCTACTGCAGTTACTATCCCAAATGAGTCATCCTTTTTATCCTGTGGAAACTAAGAGAGGAAAATGAATTAATATGCTTCTGTATGAAGCTGCCTCTACACCTGTAAAAAAGTACTTGTTCTTCTCAGCAGCCTTGGTGAACATTTGCAGTAACAAATTCGAGTCTTATTTCCTCCCAAGATCACACTGTAAAGAGCACAAGGGGAGTAGTAATTCTATTCTCCTGTTTACTTCCTTGATTTTATAGAGCAGTAAAGCTGCATGTGTGAAAAGGATTGTGTAACCTTTTTCTGTCCTCTATTATAGGAAGTCCTGTTCTTGAAATGGCAGCTATCAGCAGCTGTTTTCCCCAGGCTAGACTGTGTGCTATAGGCATACAGATTTGGGACCTATTGTCTTTGGAGTATTCCCTTTTCTCTAGTTTCAACAGCGCAGGCTACACCCTCAAATTCTTTATATCCACTTAGTCCTCTTAGAGCAGGATTCACGGTTGTTCTCAGGAGAAGGTGATTCAGGCAAAACTTGTGTATCTGCAGATAGGGAAGTTCATAAATAAATTAAAATTAATATATGTTTGACAGTTTGGGGCACAATGAACAAGCTGTTAGCTCTGACTTTGCTTGCTGAGTAACTGCACAAGATTAGTCTGTTCTCATTCACTAATTTCACTCCATTTTATAAAGCTTAATTGATTAGCATGTATGCACACATATATTGAAATAGTAATGTTTTTTCTCTGTTTTGACATGTTTGTCTGCCCATTGGGTTTGTTCATTGATTTCTACTCCATACCTCAGACTTTTTGGTGAACATTGCCAAGGCTGACCTGACATTAAAAGATAAGGAGTCAAATACATCTTTGCACTTGGCTAGCAGTAAAGTAAGTTGAAGACCTCTCAGTGCTTTTTGCTCATCACAATCTGTGTGAATGTATATGTGTGTTTATGCTCCCAAGTTTTTTTCTGCAATGGAAATGTGGTGGCCAAACTTGTCATGAGAAAGGGAACTTTGTTCCAAGCTTTTTCTCAAGTCTGTTTCGAAGTTTGGGAGAAATAGGGATACCTCTTACAGCAACTGAAACATAAGCAAGTGACACTAAGAGAAGTAAAGGAAACCCTTTAAGATTTTACCAGATAATCTCAATGTAAAATAGCTTAACAGGTTCGGTAGCAAAATAAAAATAAAAGTATTTTTTCTTATTCTCCAATTTCTGTGGAAGGAACCCAAAATTTTCCCTTGACAGAGTAGCAGTAAAACCAGAGGCATTGATTAGATTGGTGGTGATGTCTATTCCTACCCCCTCTTTCTCTTAATTCCAATTGCTACTGCTGTTTCTGCAAGAAAAAATGCCCACAGGATTCCCTCTCCTGGGCCTTTTCTTTTGCTCCTACCCACAGACTGGATTCCAGTTTGATTGTATTATTCCAGTGTCTGGAGACACATGAGCCTTGCTGAATTCTCAAGGTCCTTCAGGCCAAGGTTCCACCTGCCAGGACTGTAGGCTCAGCATCTGCAACTTGCTGTGCTGAAACAAGATCAGAAATAAGGCCTGGATCAGTGTTATTCCCAAAGATTCATTGTTAGAGCTCTGTCACAGTGGTAGGGTTTTGTAGTATCTTATTAATAATACAGAAAGGCATTTAAAGACTCAGAAAGCGCATTACTGCTTTCTGAGATGAAACCATTCTATGTCACTAGATAGTTCTGATAAATTATCCACTGAATGCTCTCTCAAGAGAAACAGCAGTACTCTCTGAAAGCTGAGGAAATGAATTCATATTTAATGAATGAAGTGTTGAAAGACAGGTGAATGTGTAATTTTCTGAATGTGCTAAAACGTCCCAGCCGTGGCAGTTAAAAAATAGTATTTTAAGGCTCCTATAGTTCACCTTCTACACAATCTTACTGAGCAGCATGTTTTGTATTTCAAACTGAGTTATTAAATTTCACTTTTATTATGTAACATTTTATTATGTAACATTTCTTTTGCCTCAATTTCAAAATCCTCAGTGAATTAACACTATTGGGTTTTTTCCCTGATTACAGGGTCATGAAAAATGTGCCTTGTTAATACTTGACAAGATACAAGAACAGAGCCTTATTAATGCAAAAAATAATGCATTGCAGACGTAAGTATAGCCTAATCCTCTCAAGTTCAGTTGATTTACCAGAAGATTCCAATTTAGCATTTCAAATTCACATCTCAGATTTTTTCATAGAGCAGTGAAGTTAATTTCTAATTTTTTTTGAATGCATTCTCTTAAAAAAGACCAGAATTGTATTGCATTTTCTCTTTTAATTTTGATTCCATTGATGTCAATTCTATACATGATCTGGTGGAAAAAATTATATGAAGTCATTTATTTGATGACTGTATCAAAATGTCTATTAATCACGTGAATGTGTAGGTATACATCTGACATTTTTTAGCTTTTTTTTTTTCCTGTCCCGTTAATGTCCCCAAACAGGAGCACTGGGTGTTGGGCCAGGAAAGGAGAAAACCAGTGGTTATTTTTAATTTCCACCTGCTCTGCAATAACAGAGATTAGCAATCGAATATTCAAGGATAAAAAGGCAATACAATGATTCTGAACAGTCTGTAGTAGCCAGAATTAGGGATGGGACACAGGCATTTCTTCAGGCTTAGATTCATTTTCCTTTTAAATGTCAATTGTGTGCTGCGAACAGTGCAAAAATATGAACTTTTTAAAGAAAGGCTTTAGAATTTAGCCATCTTTGTGTGCTTGCACATATGTTTTATAGATATGGTATAAGATGATTATTTCAAAGGCTGCAATATAATTTAGTGTCTACAGTATAATTCTAATGATCCCAGGAAGGAAAACACTCAGATGCTGAGTATGCTTTAAGCATTACCTAACTTTGTTTAGAAAATCTGTTTTAAACTGAACTTGAATTCAGTTGTTATGTTTTTGTAGACCTCTCCATATTGCTGCACGAAATGGCTTAAAGATGGTGGTTGAAGAATTGCTGGCCAAAGGGGCATGTGTCCTAGCAGTAGATGAAAATGGTAAGTAAATAATATACTTTGACAGTCTTCAGTAGGACCCAACAGGTAATTTTACAACAGACCGAAGCAATAGACTTAAAAGGTGATGATAGACTTCATTGATGCTTTTATCCTTCCAAGAACAGACAATGAGTTGTGTGAGTACCTATTTAAAAACATAAAAAAGATACTATTTATTTTTCTTTAATCTAAAAATGTATTCTAAACATCACAGTGGTCCCTTTTACTGTTCATTTTGCATGTACTGTCAACAGCTAGTCTTTTTTAATGCTTGAGTGCAGTGGTAACTTGAATTTCCTAAACATGCAAGTGGCACCGGATAATTCTGACGCCTTGCAGAAGAATTAAGGATTATGCATTCAATCAGCGCATGTGTTAATGGGTAGGAAGAAAACCATCCACATATGTTTGAGTGTGTCCCAGTTCATTCTGAGATCAAACCTTGTGCTTGCCATTTATCTGACCTAATCCAAGATGCAATTAAATTACTGTCGCTCATAAAATACACGAGTAGTTAATGAATTTAATAATTTTGTTTCAGACTTCAATGAAGTCCTTCCCTAAACATTATATAGCCTATAGAGAGATGTGAGTCTAAAATTATAATTTTAGAAAATATCTTCCTGAAATAAGTTGTTCTTTCTTACAATACTAACTTAATGTCATTAATGTAACAATTTGGGACCTCCATCTTTCCATATCTGTAAAGTAACAATAATAATACTCACCTATCATTGCAAGACATTTGAAATCTATGGATGAAAAGAACTGAGTGGTGAGTATTTACTATAAACTAAATGCCACCTAGCTATACTTGCATGAATGAGTTCCACTGAAGCCATCTGACCCCAACCTCATTGTACAGATAGGGAACAGAAAAAGCAACCAGGCTAGGTTCTAATAACAGCTTTTATCCTTAAAAGTGTACATACAGATCCAGCTAATTTGTATGTAGGTAACAAATGAAAATGAAGTTTAAGTTTTATTCACATTTAGTTTTTCTAATTGTAGTTGTTTCTAGGAACAAGTTTAAAACAGAGCCATTTTACGCAGTTTAAAACAGAAACATTTAAGTACAATCTTTGTGTAAGTACAGCTCTGAAGAATATTAATGCTTGGAACTCAGTGGAAGAAGAAATGCATTGACTGCAGTCAGTGCTTAACTGTGCACAGAACAGTACTCATGTTTTCCCACCAAATTCATGTATGCTTCAGGTGCTCTTGGATTACTTAAAGCAGCAGGTACCAGTAATGGTCACTCGCTCAGATTAGTTGTGCTGCAGCACTTAAGATTTAGCCAGCTGCCAAAGAATTTGTCAGCTCTGACCATAGAGGAGGATTTGTTGGAAAGTGCTGGAGTACTGCACAGTAGCCTGTAAAATGTACAGACAGCAAGTGTAACGAGCACAGTAGCTTCCAAGGTTCGGGTACGTGAAGAACTGCTTTAGGGGCAGCACTTGGACAGCAGCCAAGTTAAACTGCAGTGAAGACAAGCTTCTAATAGCTCCCCAGTCCTTCACTTTACTGACATTGAAATAATATTAGCTTTGTATTTAAAGTGTCATGTATTTTAAATGCCATGCTTGCTGAATACAGCAATTAATTCTTCTAACACAAGGTAAATTTGGGTAACTAAACATCCATGTAGTCATACCTGCTATCCATGTACCCTGTGCACTGATCTAATTCTTTTATAACTTAATTCCTAAATAAACTACTCTCCGAGTTGAGTAGATACTCAGCTGATCAGTCTTTAAAATCATTTGCTTATTAAATCCAAATATTTTTAAACCAATGTCTTTTATGTTCTAATGGAAGTCGTTGTTCTCAGAATGAGACTCATTCATACGCACAGAAACTGAAGCCAGTTTCTGTCCCTGTTGCTGTACCCCCCGTGTTCTGTATTCACCATACTGTCCGTGCTGTAGAATTGTGTTTAGCAAGTGCTTTTATTCAAATCGTGAAGTCTGTTTGCTGCCTGGTTTTAAAAAAATAGTGCTTGTTGTGGTCACGGTGATTTAAATGCCCCCCAGAGTGTGTATGTTCCCAGCATGTCTAATGTGAAATGAGTAACACCCCCGTTGCCTGGCATGACTGTAACCGGCCATACATCTCCCGCTCCCGTGTCCCTAGAGATGTATCTGAGGAATGCTCGGCGCTGCCCCCGGTACCTCAGCACTAACCATTGCCTTGTCTGCGTTTGTGCCCAGGTCATACGCCAGCCCTGGCTTGTGCTCCTAACAAAGACGTGGCTGACTGCCTGGCACTCATTTTGGCTACCATGATGCCTTTTTCTCCTTCCAGTTCAGTGACGGCTTTCAACTTCGTTTGTTTTAAAAAAGACAATTTGGGCAGGACACATCTCTGCGATGGCTCCAGTATGGGTAGCATTAACTCTTACAATAAGCCCTTGAGTAATAACATAGGAACAGAGGATGGGTACAATGAAAATGATTCGGATTCTGAAACATTTTGACTCATTGGTATTCAAAAACTTCTTTTCATTATTATTTAATTTCAGCTTTATTTTTTGTCTTTTTAAAAAGCTTAAATCTCACAACTATATTCTTAACTATTATTCTTGACAAGTAGGTATTGAAAGATTTGTAGTGTTGATGAGAATCAAGCCTTCAAATAACAAAATTAGAGGGATTTACTGGAACATATTCCCGTTAGTGTTCTGCAGCTTTTCAGTTTCCTGATGTTTTCTTTAGGTCCAAAGTGCCCCTGTGGAAAGTCTCTACCTCTTATTTTAAGTAGAAAAAGAGAAAATGCCTTTTTTTTCTTTTTGACAGCACAAATAAACAGGGAACTGTTTGTGAAGAATTCTTTCATGTTTTAGCTGTACCTTTAGTAGACAAACATATTTCCAGCGTAGCCTTCAAAGATTAGAGCATCACCCCCTTCCTACGTTTGTCTGTTTCCTGCTTCCAGGGGCTCTGTTAATTAGATAATTTTTTTTTTATACAAACCAAAGGTGAACTTGTAATCTTAAAACTGCCTGTATTACTTTTCTACAGGAAATGAAACCTTTTACATTCTGCCTGTATTAAGCACTTAAACATACAGAAGGCACTTTTTACAGTTCTTAGTTGCAGCACACAATTAAAAAAATGTAGTTGTTAACTCTTAAGGCCAAATTCTACTCATCTCACCATATTTTCCCATGGACACCACTTGTGTAAAATGAAAATCACTTGGCCCTTATTTTTTTTCAATTCAGCACAAACGTGTATGGTTTATTTGCACTACAGAATTAGGGTCATTAGATGTTTCTGTCACCTGAGCCATTAATCATGATTCCAGTATCAGAAAAAAAAGGGGAGGGGGGAGAAATCAAGTGTAGACAAAAGTGTATGTAAAAGTTTATAATGACTTGCCAACTTAAATGGATTTTTTGTTCCTTTTCTATGGTTAAATAACTTATTTTTACTGTAAACAGCATCAACTCTTAAAATACTTTTGCCAGTGTTTGGATTAACAGAGCAAAGGTAAAGCAATGAAAGCATAACACCAAAAGTTGAAATACCAAACACCAGAAAACATAGCAGTGTACTGTGCAGGGGATCAGAGATAACATGTTAAAAAGCCTATTGTCACCAGCTTTTAAAGCAATGTCAACTTTGTGAATATGTTTACTCCTTCTGCCAAAGTTTCTAGGTCAAATGGACCACAACCCTCCTCTGCAACAGATGTACAAAAGGAAGAATGAGACTTTGTAAACAAAAACAAAAAAACCCAAACAAAAAGTTATCCTGAACTAACCAGCTGTACCAAGAGGACCAAAATGCTTCAGTAATTAAATTGAAGACTTTGCTACTTTTATTTTTTTCTTCAAATGTGAGTGACATAATGAAGTATTTTTTCCTAAACCATAAAAATATAAACTTTTGAGGTAATTAGTAGTCTTGAGTGAATTTTACATTTTATGACGCAGGTTTCAAGTTGACATTTTTAACTGATGTGTTGACCACAGGTGGGGTTTTTTTCCAGACTAAAAAATATGTTCATATACTTTTAATGTAAATGTTTTTCTATTTATTTGAAATGAAACAAATGCCCAGGAAAAATAACTATGGCTTGTTCTCCTAGTTAGCATTTATGCATACTGTTTGGGACGGTGTGAAACAAAATGTGAATCTAGGCAAGAGTGATGGCCTGAGTAGCAAAAGGAAGAGTGGATGCACTTTGGGAGAGTGCCCATCTTCTTGTGTGGAATGCAAAGGTTGGGTCCACAGGCTTTGTTGGTAAAAAGCAGAAAGCAAAACACCTTCCCCTGTTTAAAGAGCGTAAGAAAGGGATCCAGCCCCTTGCCAGAGAGGTGAGAAAACACTGTAGAGCTGCAGTAGAGGGGAAAAGGTAGCACAGCATGGAGCCAAGGTGTTAACATTCCTGTGATTCATGCTCAGGTTGTCTGCAGGCCCAGTCTGTGCTGGGAAAGTGAGATGAGCTTCCGTGGTGCTTGCTTTTGGCAGTGGGAATGAAAAGGAAGGACTTACATTTTGCTTGCGATATTTTTAGCCATGTTCCACTTAATTGTTAAAAATCTATTGGCAGATTTCAGTTCCTTAATTAGGAAAGAAAATTTATATATTAATTTTATTTTGTCTTGTGAAAATTAAATATTTTTCCTTGAATGTTAACAATTTTCCGAAGTTTACAACAAAAAAAATCACAAGGGATAGTGTCTCTTTCAACTCTAGTTTCTGCAGTAGAATGACAGATCACCTGAAACCCTGGTTTTCTCCTCAGAAATAGCACAAAATAACGTTTTAATGATTGATTTTTCTCAACAGTTTTCCTTTTTAAAGTTGCAGAATAGCAATAACCACCTTACTTTAAGCACTGAAAATAAGAGGAGAGATCAATCATCAAAGTTTTCAGTGGTGCTTGTTCCAAAATAAATAGGAGTCCCAAATTTTGGATTCTTTATGTGGAATGATGGCATTGAAAACAAACAAATGGGAAATAGTTGCCACTTGTCTAACAGCAGGATTCTTATTTTAAGCAGAAATGTAGGGAGGCTCCTTGGTAAGATTAGCCATGTCTTACCCTGAAATACGGAAAGTTATCCCATTGTACATGAAATTACTTCATTAGGAGGAAACCAGCACTCTTTACAAAGAGTTGTTACGTTATTTTAAGTGGCCATTTAAAAAGTTTCAGTATTTTTACTTGCTACCAGACAGAGTTAGGGAAATTACTTCTCTTTGCAATACCTCATAACTCTGGTAATCGTGTAGTGCAACAGCTCCTGCCTCTCAGTGATGGACACAGCATCCCAGAAGCAGAGGTGAATTATGCTGATCCTTCTAGGAACCAAATCTAACCTTTACCCATTAAACACTTCTATGAGCTAACAGTGCTGTCAGTATGCACTATTCCAAAAATCATTGGAACATACACTGTTTGCCCCTTAAGGGCATTGCAAATGTGTTTTGAGTGTGCTATATTGAGGAGGAAATCTGCCACAAGTGAAACACTTGGAAGTTCTCAGTGTTGGCCTGTCCCACGTCTCACGGGAGTCACCGGAATCCCTTTTTTTTTTTATGTATGCTAGTACATTAATCTGTAATTTATCACATGTAGAAACATATGTGTAATTTAGGGCAGGTATTTAAGCATGGGAGTAATTTTACTCTTGTAAATAATCTCCTTGCCTTTCCGTGGACTTTTTTTACAAGAGTAATCATACATAATTGTTGCACTTAACCCTGGATCCTGCAGTTTATAGTACATGGACAACTTTTGTGTCTGCACCAAGCAAAGGGTATTTGGGGAGGGGCAGCTGCCTGCCCAGGTGTATTAGCAGGATCGTTTCATCCTGTATTTTAACCACAGCTGCAGGTGGAATCCATAGCAGGATGGGGTCCCAAGTCTCTCTCATAAATACTGAGTTACAACCTCCGGACTGCCTGAAATTGCTGTGAAATAGCTCAGGGGATTTCTGTTCATCGCTATTAAAAGGGCACCATAATGTGTTTGGTACTTTTATGCAGTAAACAACTGCCAGGTTATTGAATTAGAACAAACACATGAAATGAATTGTTTATCCATTGTACTGTTGAGAAACTTGGTTATGTATCTTGAGAATGATTTAAAAAAAAATTGTGATTTTTATTCTTAGTCATGTAAGAAATATTAGAGTGCCTTTTTATATTTGTGTATAATGGAAATGTTTTGTGAAACTTGTCTTTTTTTTTCATTTGAGTGTTACAAAAGCAATATATTACCAGTAAATTTTCATTTCAGACCTTCTTTGAATGTATAAAGTGTTTCTTCTTTTCATATGTTCTACCTGCATTGAAATGAAAATTAATATGCTAAATTTCTATAGGAATAATGTATAATTTTTGCAGTGCTGAAAATGCTTTCTTATTACACAAAAATTAAACCTTAGGTCAGTGTTATAGGAAAGGGCGTTTTAAACTGGTGACAATCTGAGTGTGTGTATAAAATGTAATTTTATGCGTTTCTTATGCAGTGATCTACATATTAAAGCCAATATCTTATGTTTTGTAGGTTTTGTCTTATATTTTATGCTTTAGCATGTGCAATATATCTTTACAAACCATGGTGATACGCATCTGGTGCCAGTGTTATATTTTGCATAACATTTGTAATAAACAATATAAAATATTGTTTGATGGTTTCAGTGGGGTTTTGTCGGTATTGTTTGCTTTTGTAAATTGAAGTTTAAGGACTTGGGTAAATGTCACATACGAAATGAGGAAAAAAGTTAATTCGGTGAATGACTTGGAATTCAACCTGAATCTTCTCAAGCACAGTTTAATAACTTTTTCAACTACTGAATGCTGTATTAATGTAATAAAGAACCCTAACTGTAAACTACTCTCGCAATGCATTCAGATGGTTATTTTTACAAATAAAAATGGTACAAATACTGTTGGAAAACTGCGTAAATTTTGTTTCTTTTGACGGGGGAAGTGAAGAGGGAGGCTTAATATTTAGCAGTGAAGATGAAAGTGCAACTATATATGTAGGCACTTTGTACTTTTCCCTGGTATGTAAATACTCCACGCCTTAGGAAGCTGGTTTT